TTGTGAAATGAGGAAATGGAAACTTTGAACAACATAGGTGAATCTAATATCAAGCTAGAATGTTGGATATAGATATCTCTTTCTATTGTAATAAAATTGTTTGCTTATATTGCATCAAAAAAATTTAAACAGGGCAATAGTTGTATATGAATTTTTTTTAATTTTAAACTGATAGCATAAATAGACTCAATGGTTGTATAATCAAATAGGAAATTAAGCACTGACACTGGTTGTTGGGATTTCAAAACTAATCCAGGTATTTTCAAAAGGGCACAAATTGCTTATGCAGTATTTCAAGTCAAATGAGAATAATAATTATTAAAATTTTAATTTTTTTAAAAATAAGTTTACCGGTAAATATTTTTTAAAAATTTTGTTATCTTAAGTTTTTTATGTTGTTTTTTTTATGTTGTTTTTTTCTGAGGCTTTTATTTTTTATATCTATTTTTTTATTTTTTCCCAATTTTTGCAAAGGGTTAAAATCCCTCAAGTTGACATGTACCGCTCATCTAGAAGAAAATATTGTATTTATAAGTTAACCAAGAAACTCAAAATTTTGTTACTTTGCTAATTTCATTTTTCCTTCTGTTAATCGCCTGTAAAAACTACACCACACTGTTCAGATTTATGTGTGTGTAATTAATATATAAAAATTGACCACTAAATAAATATAAAATATGCATAATTTATAATCTGACAAATTGTTGTATTTTTCATCATATGTCTTTTTAAATATTGCTTAATATTATCAACAGGTAGAACCTGTATAACAAGGGTCAGATTTCCCTATAGGTTAAGTACTAAATAGGTTAAATCATAGGCCTCCAAATTAAAAAGGCTTCAAATTTATGCAGTCATTTTTAAAACTCTTTTAAATATTATGTATATATATATATATATATATATATATATATATATAGATGTATATATATATATATGTATATATATATACATATATATATGTATGTATATACATATATCTTTTTAAAATTATTACTTCAACAAGATGTAAATTCAATAATATCCTTTTTTATATATATATATATTTATAAATATTTTAAATATTATATATATATATATATATATATATATATATATATATATATAGATGTATATATATATAGATGTATATATATATACATATGTATATGTATGTATGTACATATATCTTTTTAAAATTATTACTTCAACAAGATGTAAATTCAATAATATCCTTTTTGATGATAATTCACAAATCAAAAGCCCAAACATTTTTTTTTTAAAGTCAATGAAACAAGTCAATGACTTTTAAAATCTGAAGAAGAAACTTTCCAAAATGAATGATGAATTATAAAAGTTTAACCTACAAATAAATTAAATTGGCTGGGTTTATTTTTATTCTTGTCATTGTTACTCTGTGGACTTATTTTAACAAGAAGAAAAAATGTCGTTGAAGTTGGGGGGGGGGGGGGAAAAAAAAATGAGTTACCGCACCTGGTGACACCAACCCTAGCTACGAGACTGGGTCATATATCTGACTTTTGTTTAACAATGATATTTTTAGCTAGGTATATTTTACTTGCGGGCTAAGTAGGCGACAATGAAGCAGGTAGTAACAAGTCACTCATCACAAAAGTAACCTTGCAATTGTTGTGTTTTCCGTGAATTAATAGACAATAAAGACCCAGCAATTATATTTATATGAATAGGCCTACACTCTCGTGTAGTTTAATTTAGTTGATAATATATTTTAATTGAATTAATTTTATCCAGGGACCCCACGATTGAAATTAATTTTATCCAGGGATCCCACGATAGGAATTAATTTTATCCAGGGATCCCATGATAAGAATTAATTTTATCCAGGGATCCCACGATAAGAATTAATTTTATCCAGGGATCCCACGATAAGAATTAATTTTATCCAGTGATCCCACGATTAGAATTCATTTTATCCAGGGATCCCAGGATTAAAATTAATTCTATCCAGGGATCCCACGGTTCGAATTAATTTTGAATAAACTTCAGGATATGATGAACCCAAGTCTCAACGTGAGAAGCGTCTGTTCGAAGGCGCCTGTGAACCAGGTGGTCACATGCAGTTTTTATCCCGTCTGAAGACAATAAGAAGATACGATGAAATAACATGTTAGTGTCTAGGTCAGCAAGGATTAAATGACGATTCTTTAAGAATATTTATGGGGGTGGGGAGGGGGCGGCAATCACATAGCCGAATCTCAGTGGGGGGGGGGCGGCAATCACAAAGCCAAATCTCAGTTGGGGAGGGGGGGGGCAATCACACAGCCAAATCTCAGTGGTGAGGGGGCAATCACACAGCCAAATCTCAGTTGGGCGGGGGCGGCAATCACATAGCCAAATCTCAGTTTGGGGGGGCGGCAATCACATAGCCAAATCTCAGTTTGGGGGGGGGGGCGGCAATCACATAGCCAAATCTCAGTTGGGGGGGGGCAATCACATAGCCAAATCTCAGGGGGGGGGGGGTGGCAAACACACAGCCAAATCTCAAAAGGGGGGGCAAGCACACAGCCAAATCTCAAAAAGGGGGTGGGCATTCACATACATAAATCTCAGGGGGAGCAATCACATTGCCAAATCTCAGGGTGGGGGGCAATCACATAGCCAAATCTCAGGGGAGGCAATCACATAGCCAAATCTCAGAGCTCGAAAGTCTGATAATAACATGTGATTCAAAGTGAATTTTAAAATAAATTTCTACTTCGCATCTTCCTCTCTTTTAGTTGCACTGGGCCGAAATTGCCGCCCCTTAACATATAGGAAACAACGCCCGCCTGGGTTGGACTGCCCTCCCCCTCTTTTATATCTCAGTGCTTCAAAATCTTAATCTTCGAACACTAATGCTAATTGAATGTCCATGCATTCTTTGAAAAAAAAAAAAAAGGTTTTGGGGTGGGGGGGGGGGGGGATAAATTTCATTAAAAAAATTCAAATAAATTCACTTTGGAATGGTAACTGTAAAAATTAGATTATTAAGTGAAGGAATAACGGTACCGTATTCAAAATTGTATTTTAAAAAATTAGCTCTAAAATTATATTCTGTGTCGGAAAATCGGATAATCTTAAACGTCATAGTCGTATGATCATAAAATCGTAACATATTTACTGTCATGGGCGCCCGCAGGGGGGGCAAGGGGGGCACTTCCCCCCCCCCCTGGATTGATTGGATAAAAAAAAATTAGACAAAAATAGACAAAAAATGTATTAAAGTAAAGAGAAAATAAAGAGAAAGTAACTATGCTGATGTCCTGTCCGTTCGTTCACCATACAAATAAGCTACAGTAAATTAAAACTATATTGAAACATTACTAAAAAAATTTTGCTCCCCCCTCCGGAAAGTTAATCGATTTTTTTGCCCCCCCCCCCCTATCCCCTAGAAAGTTTTCTGCGGGCGCCCATGTTTACTGTCAATTATGTACTAGAATTGTACACCTTTTAAACAATGCCGCTCTTGGCAGCCACCTATGTCGCCTATATCTAAAGCTCGGCACTGACTTTGTCAATGAACTGTTTTAGCCCCTTATCCCCTTTTCGGTCTTGCACCCCCTGCAATCCAGAAAGAAATTATTTTTCTCCATCACAACATTCTGCCCCTCTAATGTCTGAGGCCCCGTGCACGCCATAAGCGACGGCCCTGATTATAATACTAATACTTATATATAAGGGATTTTAAGATAGTAAAAGATTATTAATTTTGAATACATACTTTATTACTTTTTGGGGTCATAGGAACAAGTGCGAAACATTAAGAAATGGAAAGTTGGGGTAATTTTTGTAATGAAAGTTGTAAAAAAACAAGTGTTGAGGCTGTGAGACCAACAACCTTTTGGTGGATTTTTAAATGTAACTATAAGTTGTGCTCTGCGGAATGTCACCAAAGACCCCGGTGAAGGGGAGAAAAAAAATCACAAAAATTTCGTGAGCTGTGAAGTTTTGTTGAACTATTCAAATGTCAACAGAATCTTTCATTTACAGAACGTTGCAAACATACGGAAAGTGCTTCAGATCGACATTCAAAATTGGGGATGTGGGGGGCAGGGATTTGGGGGGGGGGGCAGTGGAGCAGAAATCGAGAGTACTGAAACTGAAAGCTGCCAAGGCCAAACGAAGGGATAGCGGTATGGGGAAGGGGGGGGGGGGAGGAGGGAAGGAGAGGGTGTGCGGAAAAACAGTGTAATTCGTTTACAAAACAAATGCTTCTTTAACGTCATTTCCCCCCATTACTCTTTATTTTCGATGTTGTTCTTTGTTTTGATTTCATGGCCAATAGCTGACTAAATTTAATTTAGATAATTTTAAACATATGAAAGAATTATCAACACTTCATATATTGCACTTTTTAAAAAAAAACATGTTTCCATTTTAATTTTTTTTTAAAACTAACATTAAATTCAATAATCCGTGTAATGTCGTTGATATTACACTAATTATTGAATTTAATGTTAGACTNTTTTTTTTTTTTTTTTTTTGTATTATAATAGGAAAGAGAGATTATGGCTTATTTCTTTTTTAACACTCCTATAAATTGAAATATGATTGAAAAATGGTTGTGAATAACATTATGTTAAATAATCGTAATGGATTTAAGAAAGTGCAAAAAAAAAAAAATAATAGTGTTTAGGAGGAACGTCATGTAAGCTATATGAATAGATTTATCCCAGGTCATGACTTAATTTTTTGTCAGTTGTCGTCCTTGACAGTGGCTGGTTGAAATCGAAAATATAAAGAATTCGAATGCACTTACGACTTTAAAATACCTTTACAAAGGTTTCTCAATTGTGATAAAAATTGAATACCATAAATCACAAATGAATGTTGCATGCCATATATTCAAGCAGCTTTTAAATGGAATTATTATATGATGTGTCTGAAAAATCTAATAGATGCACGAATGGGTCTTTAGTACTTCAACATCATTGACGTCACTTCTTGATTGGTTGTACAGAACACACCTCTCAGTTCTCGCAACTTCACAAGGTCATACAGGAACAGCTGACAAAATGGCGTGTCGGCGAGCGCTTCGAGCGCACAGCCAAAGCCGACAGCTTTCTATTGTTCATAATCATATATTTCGGCTTATTAAAGATGCTGGATCTTCGGCAAGAACGTTTCACTCTCAAGTAAGTATGCTTAATTTGGGAATCAGTTAGACCTAAACCAATTTTGTTTTCGTCATCTTGTTTCCTTATTTATTTATCTTTTTAGTCTGCTATGACCCACTTTTCCCCCAATGGCAATGTCCAATGATAATGAAGAAGTGTAGTGACAAAATCAAAATTACTCATGTTTGAGTTAGGGTACATCAAGCACCCTCATGATATATTTCGTTGTAAATTATTAAATTAATAAGGCATAGGGTCTAATGATATTTATATTTAATAATCAAGTACAGATCATGACCAGATGGCTAAGCCACTATATAACTGTAATATTAATATAATAATAATACTATACTAATAAAAATAATACTAATATAAACTATATGGAGTGTATTATTTATAGCCTAGTCTGCAGTCACTAGTGTTTAGGGCCTAAACTGAACTGACCTACTAAGTACTAAGCCTTAGTCAGTAGTCTAAGCCTAAGGGCAATGCCCTAAGCCTAAGTCTATTAATAATAGTTCCCATTCCCTGTACTGCCTGTACGGAGTGATTATTCACAGAGCTGTGCCAATAACTATAACGCTCGCCGTTATTCGCAGATTTCGGTCTGCCGATAACGCTCAGGATTATTCGCAGAATATAAAATACAAAGTTCGCTTGCAGACATCTCCTCGTTAGCTACTACTTGGCTGACGTGAGCTGGTGGCTTTATTATGTATCTCTTTTTTTTTAAGGGTTTAAAGATCGCTCTATCCTACACTACTTAAAACTACGCCCCCACCCCGGCTTGGAATGTGATCTTAATTATTTCTAGAAATTTGCGTAATTATGGGAACATTTCTGTCTAACAATAACGCTCTGCATTATTCGAAGATTTGGGTCTGCCGATAACGCTCGGCATTCTTCGCAGAGCTGTGTGGATAACGCTTCCCTTCCCTGTAACCTAGAATTAGAATAGATTATAATTATAGAATCAGAACAATCTCAGAACAGTTATAAATGTTGGTTTAGGGGTTAGCCTTAGGCCTCTTTAAACAATGTTTTAAAGTACTCTTATACTATACTCTTATTCTTAAGTCTAAGCCTAAATTCTACTCCGTCCTGCATAAGTACTAAGTCTAAAACTAAGCTCTTAGTCTTTATAATAAGTTAAATAAGTTAAAGTTACGTTTTTTTTTATTTTTCAAAATGAAAACCATCCTGTCCATCCCTGTGTCATAGGGCTTTGGCCTGGCTCGCCACTCCCTTCCACTCAGACCTAAATGATTCTTTTCTTTCCATGCTTGGATTCCTAGCTGCTGTAGATTTTTTCCATATCATCCATCCATCTAAGCCTAGGTCTGCCTTTGAGACGTATTCCTTTGAGCTTTTGGTGGGGCCCCCTTTTCACTCCTCTGTCATTTGGCATTCTTGCTAAGTGTCCAAATTTAAAACCAGGGCATTTTAAATATTCAACTTTAAAACCATTACATTACACTGACTGATTTTTGCGTGCAATATCAGAACCAGGTTAAAATGTTTTTAATAACCGACAACTGCAGTCCATTGATGTATAGTAGTGATAGTGCTTGACAGCATAAAATGCCAATATGTCTTCAGTTGTTGAAACAGATTCATCACTTTTGAACCTAGTGTTACAAAAAATGTGTAACTTTTTTAGAGCAGAAAAATACAACTTTGTTCATTTGTATTTATGACCTAAAATAATCAAAATAAACTATAGGGTATATTTCACAACAAAGAAAATATAATCGTGCCAGTTAAATTAAATGGAGCCAGGATAGCATTTTTGGCAAGTGACCTTAGTTAAGTTTGATGAAAGTGGGAGAAGTGTGTGTTAAGTCCTCTTTTACCAAATGTATGATCATTTTAGATAATTTACACAGTTGTGTATAAATTATAAATTATTAGGCCTAGGCTTTTCACATTTGGTACAATGAAATGTCTAAAATAATGTTGGCCATAAAAAAAAGCCCATTAAGTAAACAGTAAAGTAATGTAAAATATGCGTTGGTGTTTTGCAAACTAAAGCTAAGAATATTTTTAGTCATTAAACTTTTATGAAAGTGAAACTATAATTATGATGAATTTGAATGGAGAAGAAACAAAGCCCAAACACAGTATAATAATTAAAGGACATATGGGTAAAAGTTAAAGGTATCTTTGCTGTCTTTCTCAGATATTATATAATTATATAATATATTAAATCATCTCTAATGATGTGTCTGCTAAAGAAGACTAACATATTATTTTTCTTTGATCTAAATAAAGTGTTACCCTATCCAAGAATTTACTAATGAACAACTAACATTTTTACCAACAATTTTTTTCTGTCAATGTTTTTAATTTTAATATTGCGCTAAAAATGTAATTTATTTTCTTATAGAGAACCTTAGCCAATAAATGCCAGTTTGGCTTTTTATTTGACATTGATGGTGTGATAGTACGCGGAAGAAAACCTCTGCCACTAGCCAAAGATGCATTTCAGTTATTAACAGAAAATGGAAAATTTAAAGTACCAACACTTTTTGTAACAAACGCCGGAAATTCACTGCGCACTCGGAAGGCGCAACAGCTCTCAGAATGGCTGGGTATAGAGGTAAACAAAAAAAATTTTAATTTAAAAATTAGCTATGAAAACTTGATCTCAGCAGCTATAAATGATTCTTATTTAAAACCAATAAAGTTATGTCTCTTATATGTCTGTTATGTCTGTTTCAGAAGAAAATCGTATTGTAAAATGTATCTTATTTATTATAAGTAGAATGTAAGGTGTGATCTTTAATACTTATTATATCTGTGTGAAAATGAAATTTGCCTATTTAGCTGAGATTGCTACCTTTAGGGAATATTTGATGTTAGTAAATTTCATGGAATGCTTTTTACTATAATAATAATAACTGACAGTTTTGATAGTCGCCCCTGCCTGCTTCTTTCTTATGTACCTACTTTGTTAGTTCACAGCTGCACTGTTTGTTCCCAACTACTTTGTCTATCGAACAGGTTTCAGAGGACCAGGTAGTGATGTCACACAGCCCCCTGAAAATGTTTCGTCAGTTTCACGACAAGCATGTACTTGTAAATGGACAAGGGCCAATCAAGGAGATTGCCCACAATATTGGTTTTACACGGGTTACTACCACAGAGGAGCTGGCCCACCGTTTTCCTGATCTTGACAAAATGGATCATCAAAGAAAAAAAGCGGCTGTAAGTTCAACCTGCAACAATTGAATAAATAGGGTATACTTTATTTAGTCCATTCTACAACAGGGAAATACTTTTTGATTATCTTTAATGATCAGTGCAATCCTGGATCTATTATCTACTGGGGGGGGGGGGTGTTTCCTCCTTGTCCTTCCATCTTCTACAAATGCCTAAATCATCTACCATGTCCCTTTTCCCGGCCTTATGCTCTTCCCACATTGGCCACATGTCTCCCATCTTACCTCCCTCATCCCACCATGCAGCCTCTAAAACCCACTTCACTACCTTGACCTTTTCTTATTGATCATTTTAACTGAATTTTGTTTCTGTTCTCAATAATATAACTGCTTAAAAGTAAAACTAAGTGTAAGTGTAAGGCAATGGTTAATTTAAAGTAAGAGCTCTCTGCCTTATGCTTCTCACTTCAGTAATATTTCATTTATGTATTGAAATTAACAGTTCCATAGGGATTTTTTGGATCATAACTACAAGTGTCATGGCTAACCATAGAATAATAGTTTATTCAACTAAATTCATTCTTTGGTGCTTATTTGATAATCATGTTTTTTTTATTTTTTAAATTTTTTGACAGCCTTGTGCTTTTGAGGAATACTTTCCAAAGCTAGAAGGTAGGCTTATTTCTGTTCAATATCTGTTACTTCAGAATGTGTTCATGCCAGTGGCGTAGGAGGATGGGGTCCATACCGGTCAACACCTTTTTCCTTATATGGAGAGGCTGAATTTTCGGCAAGCTGTAAAGTTTTTGACATGGGAGGGGGAAAGCTGAATCCTTGGGCGGCATTAACCCTAGATACGCTACTGGCTCATGCCAAAATTTAGAGCATATTTGTTTAAATAATAACATGTTTTAAGATTAAAGAATAGAAAGTGTTTTCTTTTAAATGGTATATAATATGTCATTGTGTGAATTACATAATTAAGAAACAAGAAAGGCCAAAACTTTTTTTAAAAGTGTCTTCGTTAAAGCAGATCAAAGTAAGAATCATATTCTAATTCAGCATTGTACTTTTTATTTCAGCTGTGATTCTTTTCGGAGAGCCCGTCAGGTGGGAAGGCCCCCTCCAGTTAATAATAGATGTCCTCCTCACCAGTGGGAAGCCATCAGACGATGTATCGGAAATACCATATCCTCATATACCGGTTATGGCCTGTAACATGGATCTCCTGTGGATGTCAGAGCATAAAATACCAAGGTCGGTTGCAATCCTCACTATGCTCTTTGTGTTTTCTCCCTCTTTATTTAGCCAATCTTGAAATAGTGTATTTTTGCACAAAATTGGGCATACGGTATTTGCTTAAGACAGTGGTCCCCAAACTTTTTATCGCCGCGGACCGGTCAACGTTTGATAATTTTACCACGGCCCGCTGAGGGGTTGGGGGGTGTTGATTGTTTATATTTTGGATTGTTTTGATTTATAATTTGGTTCCCGTTGTGACTGCCCTCTTTGCCCCATTTCCATGGCTCTGCCTGAGGGCAACATGGCACCCAGAGCGACTCATAATATGGGGACCACTGGGTTGGCCAATTTGTCGGCTGTATAAACATGCGATTCATTAAAAAAAAAATGTATGTCTTTGGTTTTATTATAAGGATGGGGGCTAAAAGCACAACAACACTCAACCCCCCAACCCCCCCCCCCCCACCCCCCCCCCCCCCCCATCCCCATCCCCGCCTGTATGGTTCCAGTTGCTGAGAGCATTTGTGTCCATACATCCATAATTATCATCCAGAAAATCTGGTAAGCTTATAAAATGGAAATAATTTAATGTTTCTTGGGCGGCCCGGTACCATTTGATCCACGGACCGGTACCGGTTCGCGGCCCGGGGTTTTGGGACCACTGGCCTAAGACATAGTGAGCAGTTTCTGCTGAATTAACCAACTGTATTACTGTCATAAAAATATATTCATTTCAAACTACTTTATATATATTTTATGTATATATATACTCTTATAGGTCGTACCCTTATTGTGGGGTTGTCAAATTGGGTATTTGCGTTTGACCCGCAGTGTGTTGCACCATTAGTTGGCATTTTTTTTTTTAAACATAAAAATAACTAATATTTGATTAACAGACATCATTAAAATGTTTCCATATCAACTTGAAAACTGATTAGCAATCATAATGTTTAATAAACAGATTTTGTTTAAAAACGGATTGGCCTCTGCTCACGTTAAGGGAGAGCGGAGGAGAAAAAGATCCTCCCACCTTTCATTTAAATTACTATTCCATACTGAATTAGTAAGCAATATTGGTGTCGACTGGATAGGGCACATCACTGATTTTTTTTCCGCGATTTATTGTTTAAATGGAAAATCATGACCTCTATTCAAGTATATTTGATACTCATTTCAAGTCTTGCACCCTTTACAAAGTGTTTTACTAACCCTCACTCCCCCAGGAAGAGTAACAATTTTAAAATTTGAACAAATTGTTATTTTGTAATTTTTATTTATTCAATTGCAAAGAGAACTGTAGAACTGCAGAACTTAGTTAAATCTGTAAAACTTTATAACTTAGAACGTTTCACACTGAAACCAATCAAAAGTATACTCCAAAAATTTGAAAATGATAACCTAATCTTCATCATGGAATTGAAAGCCTTTCAAAATTTATTTCATCAGAGCAAACAGTCGGGCAACACAGTAACAAAATTGTCCTGTAAAATTGCATGTAATGTAAATTCCTAGTATAATATTAAAATCAGCATACACAGCAAAATATAATTAATATTGATCTGCCTTGATGGTTGTATATTTTTGGTGCTCCCTGAAACCTGACCTTTATGTCAGGTGGGCTGAGGGAATTATGAGGGGATAATTTAGACCAGGCTGTGTCACTATTCACATTTCTGACTCAGTTCAGGATGTATCAGATGATGTGTAGGATGTATCAGATGATCCCTGTGAAACTAAAAGGTATTATTTGAAAATCCCCCCCTCCCCCCCATGCTGTAGAAACATCCACAATCATAATCCACAATGCACTGAAAGGAAAGTTATTTGTAATTTTGGCTGCAGTGTTGTTGTAACTTGACTGCTGTCCATATGCATGAGAATGGTTGAATATTTAAAGAGATTAGTTTCAGGCCACAATAATGTTTGCTTTAATTACAATTATATATTCATGCAATGAAGAGAAAAAGTTTCATCTAGTGGCTGAACAGAAAGAACAATGAGATTATATGTACTTAGAAATAGTTAATCTCCCATCCAAGGAGTGGGGTTGGGGTGGGGGTGTCCAATGCAGATCTCTACTTTGTTTGTTTTTTTTTATAATTTTATCACATCAACACTGTTTAAGATCATGCCAGATTTATGAAAGGGTAGCTAAAAAAAGTAATATTTTTTCATTTTTAAGTTATATGAATAGTAAACAAGCGCAAGGAGTCAAAGTTGTTTTAACACCAGTTGGGTTTTGTTGTGTGGATGTTTGTGTTGCATTGAAGAATCCAACACCAATAAAAAAAAATTGCAAAAGTTTGTTGCACTGAAGAATTGGGACACCAATAACAAATTGTAAATGTTTGTTGCACTGAAGAATTGGGACACCAATAAAAAATTGTAAATGTTTGTTGCACTGAAGAATTGGGACACCAATAACAAATTGTAAATGATTGTTGCACTGAAGAATTGGGACACCAATAACAAATTGTAAATGATTGTTGCACTGAAGAATTGGGACACCAATAACAAATTGTAAATGTTTGCTGCACTGAAGAATTGGGACACCAATAACAAATTGTAAATGTTTGCTGCACTGAAGAATTGGGACACCAATAACAAATTGTAAATGATTGTTGCACATGCTTTAAAGAAAGTCCAATTTGAAGAGAACGTGAGAGGTGTGGAGTAGTTCACATCTGGTATCTCAATAACAGCACGGTGGCGACCACCATGTGAAAAGCAGTCCTAACACCTTTACCTGGCTCGTCTATTTCAGTGGCTTATTCCCCTGGTCTTTTCATTTAAAGCTCAATATATCAGGTTGCTTTTCAAAGTACGGGTCTTGATGAATACCTTATGCTCACCTGGGCTCACCTGTCCCATTTCCAATTTTCTAAAGATAGATCTACTACCTGCGCTTTGACGTTAAATGCGCAAGGACTTTCGTTTCTCCTCCTAATTGTTAACGTATAACTTAACATGGATTACCCAAAAAGCAAGAATTTTCTTTCTGAAAAGTGATTTGGTCAAAAAAAAAATGTGTGGGGGGGGGGGGGTGAATAGTCTTTGCCAGATGAATGATATGGAGCACATGAAAGGGGAAGTAGAGCTGGGTGAAAAACACCAACTTGCGTGGGGGTTGTTCAATTCCACTCCATTTCTGTGGAAGAGGTCAACATCTTCAAGATATCTGTCACTGCGGACGTCCGCCAGCTCGTCTGGTGCCTTCTGCTGATGAGGGTTACAATGATGAAGTGCAATATGCACCAAAACTAACAGTCATGAAATTACCGCATCTCAATTAAATTTTTGAAAAGTTATATCTCCTATTTCTCAATATATTTTTTGTCGTATGGTGGAATGGGACTGGGGCTTTAGTTAATAAGACATTGTACCAGCCGGATTCCACTACCGGACTATTGGCAAATAATATGTAACACTTGTAAATGGAACTCGGTTCTTTTTGGTGTTATCCGCCCTAGTTCCCATTTCCATTGTTTTGTTATGAAATACTCAAACAAGGCTCTGAACTTTTCTCCCACTTGATGGTTTTTGTTTATTCTAAAACAGAGGTCTCAAACTCGCGGCCCGCAAGACGATATTTTGCGGCCCGCTACATGACAGCTAAGATTAGTGAAATGCGGCCCGCGATTTTTCCCCCATTCTCATGTCTATAATGTGACCCTCCGCGACAGTTTCGGCCGAATCTCACCGACTAGTTTAATTCTTATTTTAATTATCTTTGTATAGGTTTGGACGTTGATTATCATGATAAAAACCGTTTTAAAACAGGACTAAATGTTTTTATGTTATGGCATTTGGTGGAACAAACGTTGCCAAAGTGGGGTTTTCAGAAAATTTAAAAAGTCATTTAGTGGGTAATGCACAACTATAATTGGCAAATCGTAGAAATATGACGCAGTATCAAAGAGCCCCAATTAAAATTGCCCCTATTGTTAACGAGTGATGGAAATTCCAAGCATGACAGTACAGCTGGGTTCCATCTCAAAAGTATTAGTGAGCAAGCATACTGATGCCATTGCAGAGCTACAGGAAGAATTTGATGACAAGTTTTTAGACTTCAAGTCACACAGAACCATTTTTCAACTTTTGCTGATCCTTTCTCCTTTAATTCCTCTTCCCCCCCCCCACCCCCTTTACAATTCCCAACTTGCGCTTCAAATGGAGCTGATTGAACTTCAGTGCAATTCTAATTTCAGGGAGGAAAATTGAGAGCTTTGGCCTCCACCTTCACTGAGATTTCCAGGTTGCTCAAGCGGATCTAGTACTTTTTTGGGAGTAGCAATCTGTGTGAAAAGCTCTTTTCCCACTATGAACTTTAACAAGTCAAAGTTCAGGGCGAAACTTACTAATGAGCATCTTCAAGCAATACTGAGGGTCTCAGTTGCTTCCTCACTCAACCCAAAGTTGCTCAGCTGTGTAAGAAGAAGCGCTGCCAGGTCTCTGGCAACTAGGGGTAGGGGGAAGAAAGTGAAGCCCAGTTCTTGAGAACTCTTAATGATTTATTTTGTTATTAACAAAGGTTGAGCAGATAGTACCAGTTGTACTTTATTAAATTTGTAATCGCTTTTTTTTTAAAATTTGATCCGGCCCAGTCTCACTCAGACTCTACCTCCTGCGGCCCCCGGATGATTTGAGTTTGAGACCCCTGGTCTAAAATGAACATTTCATAATGAAATTAAGTAAAATCCAACTATTCCCTTAAATAGAACTTGGCTTGACCAGAACATAACTACAAATGTTATTTGTAAACTCATTTAATCTCAAGCCTCGAACAGACAGTGAAAGTGGAGTTCATACGTCCTAAAAACAAATAGTGGCTGGGTGGGCGGGTTAAATACGATATCTAGGATATTAAACAGTTTTTAAGGGGTTGAAGTGGAACTTAAAAGGTTGGGAAACACTGCTGTTAAACCTAAACAATATTCTGTAGTAATGACAGTAAAATTTTATCTGGTTACCGGAAATTTGATCGAAAGAAATTTCGTCGACGGTAAATTGATCGACAGGAATTTTGGTAGAATCTTTTTTTCAGTTCACACGTTAAAATTTTCCTCAAATTTCTTTTTGAACGCACTATACTATATAGTAAAACAAAATAATGCGTTCAAAAAGACATTTGAAGCCAAATTTAAACGTAAAAACGGAAAAAAGATTCGACCATATTTCCGTTCAATCAAATTATCTTAGCAGTTTGTAGAAGTTTCTCCAGTGCTCAGTTATTGTCTTCATTTACAAAGATTATGACTAATTCTGTAGTTAATTTCGGGCCACCTTCTCCCTCTTCAAATCAGATTGATGTCGGTTTCTTGAGAAACACAGTAAGTTAAACATCTGACAAAACATGGTAACCTGCACAGTAGTCGTGCCCCCCAGAATTAAGTATAGCTGCAATGCAAACGGTACCACTTTATATAAATGGAATCCCTTGGTACAATACACCACGTGCACATATCCTTTAAGATTTATATGCCAATCAAAATATTTATTGCATCTTATCTGAGGGTGAAACTTTGTTTTATGGGGGGGGGGGGGTTGGGGAAAGGGCAGTTTTTGCGATGTTATCAATAAGGGGCCGCCTAACACCAAAAAATGACACCCACCACTAATATTATCTGAGGGTGAAACTTTGTTTTATGGGGGGGGGGGGTTGGCGAAAGCGCAGTTTTTGCGATGTTATCAATAAGGGGCCGCCTAACCCCAAAATATGACACCCACCACTAATAGTACGTAGCACAGAATAATGTGAGACGCCCATTTTGACCAACTCGTCTGCAGTTTCTAATAACAGAGTGCGCTTCCTGTTCCCAACTGTGCCCAACACTGAGCTACATTGACTTTATCGAGATGTTCGAGCACATGAGTTTATTAAGATTTCGATGTATCTGCTGTTTTATAAGGTATTGTCTACTGAGGAAGGAATCTAACCGTAACGCCCGCTTAATCGTCTCGTCTTTTATTTTCACCATTTATTTAATTACGCTTTTAGTTTTGTTTCTTTTTCGTTCAACATTTACATTGTTGTAAGCAGTTGTTGTTTTTTTTTAAAAATTCATTTGTTAACGAAATAGTGTAAACAAATTAATTGTTGGACTTTAAAATGATATACAACGTTACTAAATAGAAACAGCTAGAAGAAATAAAGAGTTTGTATAACGATTTCAAGGGAAGCTAAACGTCCACTAGCATCTCTACTGTTGCTTGCCGATTAAGTGTAGAGATGCTGGTACACTAAACGTCCACTAGCATCTCTACTGTTGCTTGCCGATTAAGTGTAGAATGCTGGTACACTAAACGTCCACTAGCATCTCTACTGTTGCTTGCCGATTAAGTGTAGAGATGCTGGTACACTCAAGTCAGGTATGTGCTTAAATGCACCCACTGTATTCTGAATTTATAACGACACCCCCCGAAGCACCTTCTCCAGATTCGCTCGGCAGCATTCGGTTCTCTCGATTTCTGCCGCCCTTTCCGATCAAAGTTGAAGTGACAGACGAGGCGAAACTAATCTTGGACCAAAAGCGCCAGGATGCGCCAAAAACGGAATGAATTGTTGTTTATTTAAGGCATTGCAGGGCGACTTTGGCCCTGCTTCCCCTTCCCGAACCCCTTAAAAGTCCCTCCGCACCCCCGATGACATCGTCTTAAGACACCATGTCTTAAAGATACCCTGTCTTAAAGACACCCTGATGATAACCTATGGGCTGAGCTGGGCCCCAACAACCTTTCTTAACATTAATTGATAATGTTACCGATCAATAGGGGGCACAGTGAATTACTTAGCCCAAGACACCGCACCCCCCCCCCCCAACCAATGCTGTTAAGAGAGCCCTGACACCTGACAATGGTAGATATTTTTTTAAAGTTTTTAAATTGTATATAAGTTCAGACGCTAGTAATTCGTATATAACCTATGGGCTGAGCTGGGCCCCAAAAACCTTTCTTAACATTAATTGATAATGTTACCGATCAATAGGGGGCACAGTGAATTACTTAGCCCAAGACACCGCACCCCCCCCCCAACCAATGCTGTTAAGAGAGCCCTGACACCTGACAATGGTAGATATTTTTTTAAAGTTTTTAAATTGTATATAAGTTCAGACGCTAGTAATTCGTATACGATTTTCTTTAATATGTAATTAAATCAAAGGAAGAGACTGGCGGAAGTAGTAGATAAAATACGTTTTAAAAATGCGCTTAGGGGCCATCCATAAAAGACGTCCACCAATTTTTTGCTATTTTTTACCCCCCTCCCCCTTTGTCCACTTTTGACTTGACACCCCCCCCCCTCCCAATTGTGGACGTCCAAAACATAAAATTTACCGAACTTAGATTAATGAATATTTTGGGGAAATGTACAACAATATAACGAGTATGTATTTACAAAGATTTTTTTTTCCAATTATTTGCAGGCAAAATTCTAAATGAAATAATAACTGTTCAAAAACATTTTATTGAATCACTGTATTAAAAAATGTAATAAACAAATACTCCACCATTCTTCAATCAACGGAAAATTCGGACTGCAGCCATTCAAACATGTTTCGTATAATGACAACATCTGTTCTTGAGTCTTCAATTGCTAATTCAATTTGAGTGGCAGTCTCTTCGTCTGATTCGTCTACCATAGTATGTTCACTAGCAGGAATATTTCAATGGACGACCTTCTGTTTAATCATTGCCGCCTATGATGGGAAATATGTACGCAGAAACATATTCTCTTGGACATTCTTCCAGCCACCGATGGATCAAAAGGCATGCTACTGTAACTGTGATCGAGCAGTAAATTTGCAGTAAATTTATGCAAAACTGCTGCACTCAAAAAAACACTACAATATGGACATCCACTTTGTCCTAAACCCCCTCCCCCCTTTTGTCCACTTTAGTCCACTTTTTGTTGAACCCCCCTCCCCCCTTTTGTGTGGACGTCTTTTATGGATGACCCCTTAGATAATTTTGTGTTATTCATTTGTGAAGATGTGAACATGCCGTAATCTGTGAGTCACGTGACATTCAACAAAAAATAACATTTTAAAAAATTCATTTAATCCTGTTCAGCTGTATATAAAGCCCAAGTACGTTGGTCATTGATAATGAAACTGGGTCTAGTATTATGATGATGAAACTTGTTCTTGATCTCGGGCAGGCGCTACTAAGTTGTATAGTGCTGATGTCCATTACTGACTGAAGACCAATGCTTCTCGTCAGACTGACCCAGATATTATTTAACATGAATTGCTTCTTATCTTCTTTCTTTTCTAAAATTATTTAAGTGGAAGTGTAAGCTCAGTGAAAGGGATCAGTGCGGTAAATGTTTCCTCCCATTGCGGAGTACCTCGGGGTTTCACACCCCTCCACCCAACCCCAACCCCTCCTTTTTCCAGATAATCTGGCTTACCAGAAATATTATATTATAGACGTGGTCATTGGAAATGATATATTATGGAGGAGGTCAATGGAAAAGTTAGGTTATGGAGTTGGTCAGTGGAAATGTTATATTATAGAGGTTGTCAGTGGAAATGTTATATTATGGAGGTGGTCAGTGGAAAAGTTAGGTTATGGAGGTGGTCAGTGGATAAGTTAGGTTATGGAGGTGGTCAGTGGAAATTTTATATTATAGAGGTTGTCAGTGGAAATGTTATATTATAGAGGTGGTCAGTGGAAATGTTATATTATGGAGGTGGTCAGTGGAAAAGTTAGGTTATGGAGGTGGTCAGTGGAAAAGTTAGGTTATGGAGGTGGTCAGTGGAAAAGTTAGGTTATGGAGGTGGTCAGTGGAAATGTTATATTATTGAGGTTGTCAGTGGAAATGTTATATTATGGAGGTGGTCAGTGGAAAAGTTATGTTATGGAGGTGGTCAGTGGAAATGTTATATTATGGAGGTGGTCAGTGGAAATGTTATATTATGGAGGTTTTCTGGGGAAATGTTATATAATATTATGAAGATGGTCAATGGAAAATGTTGGCAATGTTCTGTATCGTTGAAAGACGTACCGGTAGTGGTCGGTCAAAGTGTCATTTTTATTTGATATGTGCACGGCCCTTTACCATTTAATTTTTTTATAAACAATTTTAAACAGTTTTAAGTATCCATTACATTACACTGACTGATTTTTGCGTGCAATATCAGAATCAGGTACAATTGTTTTTAATAAGCGACAACTGCAGTCCATTGATGTTTAGCTGTGATGGTGCTCGACGGCGTGAAACGTCCATGTGACTTCAGTTGTTGAAATCAATTCATCGCTTTTCGAACCTGGTGTTACGAAAAATGTGCAACTTTTTGTGGGAAGTTTTTCGGAGAACAAACACTCTTGACACTTTCAGTGTTTCGACGCGCACCTTTAAGTCCAGTGCACCCTTATGTCCAGTGCACCCTGATTCCCAAGGGAGAGTATATAAGTTCCCTTGCCGCATGTCAAACATTCAGCTTCCCATGCATATCGACCTGCACGACAACCCGGGTATTGGCTTTTTAGTGCGTTTTTGTTTTTGTTTAGCTCAACCCTTACGTTTTGCAAATTTTTAATCAATTATTTTGTATTTCAATTGAAAAAATTAATTATTTATCAATTATCATGTATGTTTACAAAAATGGCTTCCTGAACCCGAAGATTCAGTTGTTACCTTAGTGACCCATACCATCGTGCTAAATGTTGGTGGCGCGCGTGTTTAGTTCACGGAACAGAAGAGCAAATAACATAAATATTTAAATAAAATAAGAACGTATTTGTCGGGGATAGACAGGGGGGGGGGGCGGACAAAATCCATATTTCTGGAAAGTCGCCCGGCCAGGGGCCTACCAGAGCACACGTTTGGGGAAACCCTGACGCCTGGTCAACCTTACTGTTGGCGCGCGTGTTTAGTTCACGGAACAGAAGAGCAAATAACATAAATATTTAAATAAAATAAGAACGTATTTGTCGGGGATAGACAGGGGGGGGGGGGCGGACAAAATCCATATTTCTGGAAAGTCGCCCGGACAGGGGCCTACCAGAGCACACGTTTGGGGAAACCCTGACGCCTGGTCAACCTTACTGGCATGGTTTTTAAAAATTGCACTTGCACCACTGGTCCCCTCGTCATGAGACCGACCCCAACCTCACAGCATAACACTCTTTGTTAACCCGCCGTTAAAAAAAGAATCTTAGATCTAAGAATCGGTCTGCCTATTTGGGTCAACTGAGGTTCACCCAGCCGCACACTAGATTACGGTGATCCAATCACTCCCGCTTCACGTGTCCCCAGCTCTTAAGTGGGTTAATCTACTGTACCAGGGTTGGAAAGTCAAACGACTTTAGGGATTGGAATGAGCTATGATGAAATGCTCCTGTAATCAGTGGTGTTTTTTTTTTTTACCCTTTCCAAAATATTTCACATTTTTACTTGATACAAAACATTTTTTTTTAAATAGTGTTATGTATAAAAAGTGTGTATATGAATGGCAAAACTATAGACTAATAACTTTATTTTTAAAGCATGATGACATTATACAATTAACACCTTCCCCTACTATAACAATGTTTTCTCCGGGTTGGTGTGGGGGGGGGGGGCGTAGCCACCTCCATACTACCCTCTCCCACTTTGAGACCAAGGCATGTGGATCATACACGTGCGTTTGATAGGTCTACAGGGAAGGTGGCTGTGGAGAGTACGCGCCTTGCTAAGAATAAGATATAAATCTGCTTAGTCATGGCGAGAGACTGTGCATGTTGCACTGCTGACTATCAAGTACAGACCAAAGGCGTGCATCTTAAACTGAGGAAAAAAAAAGGGGGGGGGGGGTTGAGAGAGCGTCTCACAACAACCAGGACCACCGGCAGGTGACAAGCCCGTCATGTTTTTTAATGTCAAATAGTACCCCCCCCCCCATAATAGTCCCCCCCCCCCCAATCTTTGCCCACCTAAGAGTGCATAAGGTTGAATAGGTGAGCTCTGCTGAAAGTAGGTTATAGGAGGATGTTGTATGGAGGCCACACGTTTTTATGATTATATTCTTGTTCATCATGGGGGGGGGGGGTTACGATAATTTGCCCATTTTTATGTTCAATTAATAAACATGTAACGTGAATTTTGAGAAATTTTTGTGAATTTTGTGTATGAATGTTGTTAACCAAATGCCACGCCAAATAACGATCGACGCGTGTGTGAAGGTCGCTTTAATCTTTTATAAGCTAAACAGGAGCTGCAGCATTCATAGATTTCGATTAGACTCGTATAGACAAGTTAGTATTCTGTAGCCTCTTCAGGACACAACATGGCTGCCTTTCAAATTCTGTTAAAATATGTATTTTAAGTTAAGTGCTCGATCTTGTAGCTGAATTTAGCGCAGTACATTTCCATAAAATTATGTAGCTTTCAAACCATTTTGTTCCATGTAAGTGTAGGCTTGGCCAGTTGTGGCGATGACTAGACCTCACTCCACATGGAATAGGTCTGCACCGCTTGCAGGGTAATTAGTGAATAGATTGGTCATGGACAACAACCCTCCTCTACTGGAGGCACCATGAATTCCCACGTGTCAGAGGTCTATAGATATGTGTGTGTGTGTGTATATATATATATATATATATATATATATATATATATATATATATACACATGTGTGTGTGTAGTGAGTCTGAGATGACGGNGGGGGGGGGGGGGGGGGGGGGGGGAGGGGCAATGGCCGTGAGCGTGCTTGCGTCTATTTCGGTGTGTATCAACATTGGCTGAACCCACTCACTAGTGTATTTATAGTTGGGAGCTGGGTAGAGATAAAGCATAGTTGTGGCATTGTGTGATAGGAGATAGGCGTGTATCAAACATTACCCTTTATGTGTACAATATAACAGCTGGTGACATCAGGTTGACATTACTGTTACCGTGTATGTGTTCAATATAACAGCTGTTGACATTACTGTTACCGTGTATGTGTACAATATAACAGCTGATGACATTAGGTTTACATTACTGTTACCGTGTATGTGTACAACGTAACAGCTAGTGACATCAGGTTTAAAACTCAAATTACAAGTACGGCCGCACTTAATAGTTGCTTCTATCAGGTGGGTGAGCGATGTAGGCCCAAGAACGTTGCATTATACTGAATAGTTAGTGTGAGACTGGTGGACATCTTTCAATGCCGACAGTCAGTAGACATTCATTGAAGTTTAGACGTGGCGTCTTCAGACCACCCATAGCGCACCTCATGTGTCAGGGACATTATCTATTTTAGGGGTGGCACCGGTTATACATTAAACATCGGCCATACATAAGGCTATAATACATCAGTCATTAATTATACATCGGCGATAGATGATGTACCAGTTATAGAGCACACACACTACACAATTAGATCGATGTTGTAAAATAATAATAATAAACTATTGTGTATAAATGTTGTCATTCTGATCTGGTTTACCCGGGCTGAGAGTGGCGTCAATCGACCTGTCAGGGTCAGACATGTAGAAGTTATTCGAACATAAGAGGCCAACCTTACTAGAGAAATTCATGTGTGTACGAGTTGGCTTCTTTTTCTTTGTATGGTTTCCTTTTCTATTGGGTTACGGCACGGTCAACGTCTTTATAGCAGCGTAACAGTCAGCGTAACTCTTTTGTCAATCGTGGGGAGAGTGTAACGACCTTGACTTACATTACATCTTCACCTTGTTCTCTCATTTCCGGTGTGCATGTGCTCGTTTTTTTTTTTTATGGGCTAATAAATAAATATTATATTGACAGCGCAGGGTCGGCCCTACGGTTGCTGGCAAGCTTAAAGACTGGCGCCCTTTTGAATATATAATCATACAAATTTATGTAAGGGTAAAAACTGGGTATCAGGTAATGACTTTATTATTGCGTAGGTTGTTTTGTTGTTTTTTTTTAAAACAAACTCAAATAATAAACAATAAATAAATGGGTTTTTCTTAACGTATATTTGGGCAGTGTTAACAATTTCCATTAGCCTACCGACGACTATTTTTTTTCGTTGATGGCGCCCTAAGGATGTGGCGCTCCGGGCAATTAGCGGCACCTTGAGCCGGCCCGGTAACAGGTACATTATGGCCCATGGTTTCAGGTTTAATTAATTTTAGAGCATTAGATCTCACTGGGGCGCCCTCTATGGGAGGAAACATTGGAAGCTGTTAGCTGACAATGCACCAGATCAATAAATTAAGATCTTCATTGTTATTAAAATGTAAACGTAAAAAATACCTGCACACATGAATACCTGGAGTCTACGCCTACTTTCTATTCACTTTCAACTGTAGGCCTACATCTTTGCAGTAGCCACCTTTACAATATCGTGGTGAAATCAATGGCGTGTGTGTGAATGGCATATATTTTAGCAACCCATTGAGCACACGCTAGTTTATAATTAGATGTTATTGACAGCGAAGTCGGCCAAAAAACTATTCAGTGACCGTGTTACATGAGTGACTGCTGAAATACTTTTTGACCGTAAACACCGTCTCGTTTAATCTAATAAAAACTCTGCAATCTTTGTTTTCCACCTGTCTCGGGTGTGCGTTTAAATTCGGTTATTTACGTTCAACATAACTGATTTTCAACTCTTTTTTTTTTTTAGTGAGGCTCAGACAAGTGTATAAATTATATGTAGGCCTATTATGTATGTAGTGAATATATTGGTCATTCATAGTTTCCATTTGGCTGTTGGACGCAAACCCCCCCTTCCCCGACAGCGTTTTAACTGAGTGAGAAGCGTGTTGCACTACAAAGTTTGCTCTCTGCATGTTACTAAACATAATCCATGACCAAGTCCTTGTTGTTATGGTAAAGTTTGGCCACAGAAGGGCGTGCCGAGCAAGTTCACGGTCAGATTAATTTGCCATCTGGTGTAGAGCTTCGCCTCCAGAGGAGGGTAAAAGATGCCCTTGTCCTGGAACCACAGCTGGCTTCATTAAATGGATTTTAGATATCACGCACAACTGTAACTAGTGTGAGAAAACTGAATCCATCACGCAGTGGCTGTCATGTATTACGGGGGGGTGGGGGGTCAAAGGAAGCGGTGCATATCAGCCGGTGGACAGTGAAGCAAAACACACATTCTGTACAGCAGGGTAGAAAATCAGCAGCCAGTAGGGGGCCAATGAGCTAGGAAAGGGTTGGACAAAGATACAGCTAAAACAGATTAAAAAGACACCGTTATGTGTGTGATTAATGGTAAGGGTCAAGTTTATGTTTCCGTCATTATTAATGTAGACTCGACTCATGTCCACACTTTATTGCTTCTATTCAGGTTTACGAGGCCCCCCCTCCTTTTAGAGACATTTTCGATTCACAAATTTGTGATGTATTAATTTTTTTTTTCACCAGATTGGGCCATGGTTGTTTCATGAACGCATTGGAAGGATTATATCAGGTAGTGTACAGGATAAGGCATTCCTTGTTTGGGGAGACATTCTATAGATCTTGACAAAACATTATAATTCACACTGTCTTGACAAAGACATAATCCACACAGTGGGGTCAAAATGATCTATAGATCTTGACAAAGACATAATCCACACTGTGGGGGCCAAATGATCTAAAGATCTTGACAAAAACATAATCCACACAGTGGGGGCCAAGTGATCTAAAGATCTTGACAAAGACATAATCCACGCTGTGGGGCCAAATGATATATAGATCTTGACAAAGACATAATCCACACAGTGGGGGCTAAATGATCTATAGATCTTGACAGAGACATAAGAATGTACACTGTGGGGGCCAAACTATCTATAGATCTTGACTAAGACATAATCCACACTGTGGGGACCAAAACTAGAATTGTTACGCATAAATTAAAGTAAGAGAATTTTTAAAAAGAGAGATTACACTTTTTTATTAAACTTTACAGAATTCATAGAATGAATAAATGTTTGGCTGGCCAAGCTGTGTTTCAATGATCTACAGTCATGCCTCTTAGAATGATTCCTTGTTTTTTCCCCTCTAAATTATTAATAGCAAAAATTGATTTCCAAAAAAAAGAAAAAAAACTGTTAAAGTTTAAATTTGTATTAATGTAAACATTAGATGAAAACTGCAATATTTCAGCTTCCCTCGTTAATCTGTGTATTTTTCCTCTAGAAAATTACAGGTAAAGAGTTGAAATACACAGCTTTGATAGGTAAACCCAGTGAAATCACATACCACCATGCAGACTACCTGCTGACACAGCAAGCCAAAATGATGGGAGTGCAGCATATACGAAGGATATATTGTGTGGGGTGAGTTCTAATCTAAACATGAGTGAAAAGTTCAATGTTCATACTTGGCTATAATGTTATGTTCATTTATAAAGTGGTTTGTGTCAGACAAAAAAAATGTAAACATTTAATACAGGGATTTTGGTACCGTACACCAACAAAAATGTAAAAAAAGAGTAGTTACATGTGGTATCTTCACAGCATAGGGCCGTAATTTTAGTCCTGACAAATTTTTAAAAAAAATAATTCAAGCTTCAAAAAATGCATGTCTCTCAGTTCCCCCCCCCCCCCCCACCCCCCCCCCCCCACCCCTTTCCCCATATTGGACTTGATATCTTTACTTAAGAATATTGCTAAAGATATTTTTACTTGAGAAAATTGAAATTAATATATAATTAGGCTTGGATACTGATCCTCACTGTAATAGTTTTCCTCCTCTGAAGGTAGCTCTACAGTGATATTTTTAAGATCTTCTAAAACATGTTTTATTTTTTATTTCAATTTATCTGTTGTTTATTTATATTATTGTATGGTCTGCTGAAGAGGGCATTTAGCTGAAATGTCAGTTTATTTTTTTTTTCAAGGTTAAACATATCTTGTTCCACTATTGATTTAATTCACACACCTCTTGAATGCTGTCCCTCATATATATTATCCTAACTGTAACAGCTGGCTCCAGCATTTTTTAAACCTTCTGACCAATGCGATGCATTATTATAAGATGGTGTCTACCTGTGTAAGAAATCATTTGCAATGGTTGAGCTTTGCCGCAGGCAGTATTTTATGAACTGTTGTCCTTAAAAACTGATCGTCCCTGTTACATGACATTTTGACCTAGTACTTATACATTCACAACTGAACTGGAACAAGGTGTGGATGTGTACACCATATTATCCTACATCAGCATACATTTTCTTGGATCAAACCACAAAGATCTTATATCAGAATCTGTGCATAGGACAGTCTTGCAGGTTTGACACCGCTTTCTGGGTCAGTGGGTCTTTTATGATTGTGTGTGTAGATTTAGATGTGTTTTGATTACTTGCAAGATTAGCAGTGTGTCTGTTGACATCAACAGTAGGTGAGGTCATAAAACATATGTGCTGCTCATAAGCACGTGAATTTACCAATGGTGAACTGATCGTTTTCTCAATGGTGAACTGATCATTGTCTCAATGGTGAACTGATGGTTGTCTCAGTTGACACATCTAGTAGTTACTTGTAAAGCTTGTATTGGTTCAGGGAAATAAGTCTGAATATGGTGATGCGTTCTAAGGAAATAGGGGCAGGAAATAGCCCACTTCACACAATATTTAATGAAAATATTGTGCCGCTCAGGGTAAGACAGAAATTATTGCATGATATTAAACCACAAGAAGTATTGTCTTGGCAAACCTGGAACCACTTGGCTTGTCATTGGTTATCATCATGGACAAAAGCTGGACGACAAGACATGTATGATGTTTCACAGTCTAGTGACCTTGCCTCGGTGTCAGAGGAAGGGGGTGCGGTGTGGGCAGTCTGCCCTGGGCAGCACTTTTTTCCTTATATTGATGGGCCAACTGCAGGCTTGTTTCATGGAGGAGTGGGAGTGGCAAAAAGCTTGGCCCACGTCAGGCAACACTAACTCTAGCTATGACAACACTAACTCTAACTACGGCAACACTAACTCTAGTTACGCTGCTGCTTTGTGTGCAATTAAATCTTGACATTTTCAAAAAAAATTTTTTTCCAATATGCACAATTTACGTTTTTACTTTCTGTTAAATAAAAAAATGTTTACATATATTTCCAGGGACAATCCCACCACCGATATATATGGTGGTAACCTGTACAACAGATACCTACAGCGACGTAAAAGCTCCAACAACGGTCAGGTCCAGACCAAGAAAGTGCGTGTAGCATCTCACCGAGCAGATGCTGAGTTTCTAGATGAAGCCAGTGATGATGACGATGACGACCTGGACATGTCCGAGTTTGACTCGGCAGCCAATATACGTGTGATCAAGTCCCTGGAGGAGGACACCCTGGGGGTGGAGAAGGCGTCGTCCTGTGAGACCATCCTTGTGTGCACCGGAGTTTTCAGGGAGAGCACTGACTTTGTATCGTTCGCCGGCTCCAGGATCAGCAACCACAACCACAGAGACTTTGTCATAGACCCTATGCTGACCCACCCCAATCATGTAGTACCCAATGTCTTAGAAGCTGTCAAACTGGTCTTTGAGAAGGAAACTTTTGCTTGAGTCTCATCTGTTTTTTGTCCTACAGAGCAAGTGATGCTGTGTAAGAAATGAATGTAACTTGGGAAGGTGTGTTCATGTTGATGAGATTATTACATGATCGTTGGTGTAATCCAATTATATAATGCAAATTTACCAAATTACCTCTAATTTAGTATTATTTAGAGACATCAATTGTTGTAGAGCAGTGGTGAAGTTTTTGCTATGGTGAGCGTTGAGGTATTTTTACTTGTGATAAATAATACGGCAGGTGTCTTAGATTTCTTACAAGTCCGAGGTAAATATGGCAAACGCTAAATATCATTAATGTTATTATTATATGAATGGCTAGTAATCTTCTTTGTTTATAGGGCAGGCATCAAGAATAATCTGACCATTGGTGCTGTGTGACTGTGTCTTCAAGTTTGTGCAATCCTCAACCCACAAGCCCAGGGGTTGGCAAAAACTTTTATTTCCATGTTCTGTTTTACACATCTCCTTATGACTTATTAATTCCCAATGTGTTCCCAGTAGCTTTCTATAATGGAATACATTTAATGTCTGGCTTGCGTCATTTGACAACTATTGCATTTCAATAACTTTAAAAAGATTATTTTTATAGGAATAGTTATAGCCTGCTACTCCCAAATGGAGCAACTGTCCAAAAGGTACGTTGCTGATCCCATTGCAAGATAATAGAAATAACTGTACTAAAATATCATGGCAATGTGTGACTGCTGTGATGAGATCATTTCTGTTTTACTCAGCACTTATAATTTCACATGCAGGTGTGTATGTTTTTTGGCATAATTTAGTTAGGTAAGAAGCCCAACTCAAAAGTATCAAAGTTATGGTGATAAAAGGTCGTCTGTGTTAAAGCTCTACCACACAGTATCCATCAGACTGATAATCCACACTCACACACATTAAATACCTGTCCCAGGTGTTGCATATTGATTTATTGATTGTTGACTGGTTCTAGCTGGGAGGATGGAGTCAGAAAAACTGTAAATAACTGGTATCATTTGAACAGTAAGGAATCTTACAGTGTAACAAATTATTGTAACATGGTTGATCAGAGCGTAGCGGTTTGTGACTTCCAGCAGTGCTAACAGACGCTACTCCCATCCTTCTAGTTGTCATACAGCAATGCACCACCCTTGTCACCAATACAATAACACTGGAATATAACATTATTAAATATACAAAATAATCGATTGGGCTGACTTTCTCTTACATTTTGAGATAACTATAGTAAATTGTGGTCACACTAGGTTTTCTTCTGTGGAAATTTTCAATTCAAATAATGTTGCCATTCATATAATTTTTAGCTCACTAAGTACATCAGAGAGTGAATTGGGAATTTTCAGTTATGCTACATGTTAGTAAATCTTTGGATGGTGTGCCTAAATGTTTGTTGACATTTTCTTGAAACTAGGCGTTGCTGTCCTCTCTACTTGACATATAAAGCAGAAAACATAATCCTTTGAGATTATTGCCTCTCATGATATTATTTGGCCCAGGTGTTTTAAGTTCATTTAGTCGGCATTTATTTCTATCATTATACTGCAAGCAAGATCTGAGTCTACTCATCGTTTGCATTCATGTCAGATATTTCAGTTGGTTGTTTATTGTTATTTTTTTTAAAATCTAATTAGTGCTTTACCATCCCAGGTTGGTTTATTCAATGGAAAGTTAAAGCTTTGAGGTGTTCAATAGTTATTGATGAATTGTTGAATTTCAGAAAGTTTTACAACAGTAGTATCAGCCTTTTAAAAATCTAATTACGTAACTACATAAGAATCAGAAAATTAATTTTTATCTGAAGTGAGCGCAACATTGAAACAAACATTGAGGATGTTCATTTAGGTCACTGGGAAATTAAAAGTGGAAACAAATCAATTTGAGTTTTTCATAAATTTAATATTATCCAGATAAAAAAAAGAATTGTTTTTTGTTTCTAAATATGGAAATTAAAAAAAAATATTAATTAATTTTCAGAGTAATTGTTTGATTCAACATCAAATAAATGACTGTTGTAGGTGTAGAACTCCCTGCCACATTAAACTTCAAGTTGAAGTAACATGTTAAGTGGCTATTGTTCCTGTTGAGTCCAATGTTCACAAACATCACGCCAAAGGATTTGTTGAAGTGTTTGTATTTAACTAAAACAGTAAGGAAATGACTATTTTCTGCTGCTATGAATGTTCTGTTTGTCTGGATTTGAGATGGGGGATTAGGTGCTACACTATCTGGCACTATCTATGATGATAGGTGCACCACATTGACTCATGTTCATCTTTTGTAATGATATTATCGAGCAGAGTTGGAGTAACTCAGTCCTTACGGTCGTGTTGATGAAACTCATTAAAATAAAAATAATAAAACTTTTTTTTTCAAACTATACCATACACTCATGTTTTTGTGAAAAATATTTGGTATATCATATTATATAACTATTTGTTCTCTTTACAGTAAAAGTTTAATTATGTTATGTCTGTTGCCAGCAAGAAAAACTGTATGCAGGGGAATCTCCACATTTAAACAGACACATGTGAGATATTTTTTTCATTTTTTTTCCTTTATTTGAAAATAAAATAAAAATGTGTTTATTGAAAGTTAAAGGTACACATGGAGGAATGTTTTAGTTCAATATCTTTGTTAAAGCAGTAAAAAGGAGTGTAAAACAATATGAATCCTTTATTCCCTATGTTTGGTTTAAATGTGGCTATCTGAAATATATTTACAGAATGTAAAGAATGCTTTCTCAGGGCACAGTTGCTTCATTATGACAGTGCAATTGTAAGGCAGAACTGTTGGATATGGGGCCATCCATAAAAGACGTCCACCAATTTTTTGCTATTGTTTACCCCTCCTCCCCCTTTGTCCACTTTTGACTTGACACCCCCCCCCCGTTGTGGACGTCTTTTATGGATGACCCCTATACATACTGTTGATGTCATATTTCCTCCCCAATAATGAGACATACACATACATGTTATATAAATATTTACACTTTAAATGATTGTAACTGTTGGATATTGGGCCATCCATAAAAGACGTCCCCCAATTTTTTGCTATTGTTTACCCCTCCTCCCCCTTTGTCCACTTTTGACTTGACCCCCCCCCCCCCCGTTGTGGACGTCTTTTATGGATGACCCCTATACATACTGTTGATGTCATATTTCCTCCCCAATAATGAGACATACACATACATGTTATATAAATATTTACACTTTAAATGATTGACATTGTGACAACCTGTGCAAGGCTTTGGGTCTGAATTGTTCTTTATTTACATTTGCTACCCACTCTTCAAAAATTGCATGTGACTGATTCACACAGGATTGAAAATACTGCTGTTTATTTTTTTAGTTTGAAAAGTCTATACATTGCCATCAGGACTTATGCAACCATCTTAGTACAAGCTGAGTTCACTTTGTTATGAAGAGATGTTTAAATTGTTCACACCTAGCTATACTGCTTCTGATGATGATTCATAGCCAATAAATAAAATCAGATAGAAAAAAATCTTTATATTTCTCACAGGAAACCTCTAAATTTCTCACCACATCATCTAACTAATTAGTCCTTGCCAAGTGTTAATCTGTCACAATGAAATATTCCTTCTAAATTGTAGAACTATTTTTGCTCTTATTCCCTGCTATAATAGGTTCTTCTTAAAGACTTAGAGGTTTAAGTTAAACATAAAAATGTTTTTACAAGCTTAGCAGAGTGGGGAAGATTTTTTTGATGGCATCTTCTTATCTTTTATGTGCACAAATAATAAATAGCTTGCAAATTATTGTACAGATTACTGTGCACTATGTGCATTGATTGTATAAGGTTAGACTATGTGGCATAGCTAATTTTGAAAAATGTATAAAACTCTGATGGGCTTGATGGAACAATTACTGTATAAATAAAGAATTAACTATATAGGTTAACTGGAATATTTTAATGAAATTTTTTTTTTTTTTTTTTTTTTTTTTTTTTTAAAAATTTTTTTTATTTTACTTTTTTTTTTTTTTTTATTTTTTTTTTTTTTCAAAAGATTTTCTTAAGTTACCTTCCTTTTTAGTGTTAATATCAGGTAAAATATGTGCATATTTACAGCAAAAATCTTTTGAAAGGAAAAAATTTCAAATATAAATAAATTTCTAGTTGGATGTATTTCTATAGTTTGAAAGTAATGTCTTAGTTCTTGCACCTGGTTTTCGCCTCATTGTAGATTCATACCTATGAATTTGAGTGGAAAAAGCTGTACCTTTTACCTCAGTCTTTTAGTTTCAAATATGTATGCTCTGTACAGTCCATTAAAATGAATCCTGGACCTATTTCTCCATAAAAAGTATCATAGTATGCAAAATTCTTTATTATTAACTGTGATAACTATCACATATTAAATAATAAAAATTTAGGATCCAATTTTTCAGAACCTATCTGAATTTGTTAAATATTGAATATTATAATTAATATGCAAATTAAATTCAGCTAAGTTTTCATGAAAAGTCTTTTTTTTTTGGTGAAGAAAATCACAAGAAATTGTAGGCCCTTAATATATAGTTGTTGGCAAGAATTTAATTTTCATTGTCATCATTTTGTATAAGATATGATTTATTAACTGGTAAAATTTGTTTGGTTTGAGAATATTTGATGCCCTTGATCTTCCTGTGAATAAGCAAGTACTTTATGCAAAGTGTCAAACAAACAAACAAAAAACTGTATTCTCCTTGTCAAAAACATTGTTTTCAATTTCATTTGATATCCATTTACTTTCACTTAGTATTCAAATTTATTTTCTTTGGCTGTAAAGTTTTTTCTTTCTTTCTTTGAACATCTTGTATTGTTTATGTTTAAGTGCTCTCATCACTTCTGTGTTAAATTTTCAGAAAAAAAATCTATGCCTGAGTTCTCTTTGTTGGCAAATGTGACTGTCATTTTAAAATATGGCTGTTTAATTGCAAGGATTTTTTGCAAGAATTTCAATTAAAGTTAAGGCATTTAGTCATTTAGCAAGCTTTTTTCTTTTATAAAATAAATCATTACACATTTGTTTAAAATCATCTATATACTATATATATTTCTATTTCATTAAACCTGCGACATCTGCATCCTTAGCCCTTTCCCAATTCAGGAATAAAGCATTTCATCTAACTCTAGATTATTAATTATATAGAGAAGTATTAGAATCATTTTATTGTGCAGATGAAGCAAGCAATTCTTGTAATATAATTGAGATTGTCATTGGTCAACTTTTGCATCCATGTGTTTGTCTTGCTATGTAATGAGTAATCTCAGTATGGAATGTAAAAACAATGACTTTCAATTTGATAAAAATTTACCTGTCAGACTTTAGCAACTTGGCTAAATGAAGAAACATTTTCTTTTTATTAAAAATGAAATAATTATATTTTTAAAATGAACATATTGAGTGTCCTTTCATTATTTCTTGTGGTGTTACATTTTTGTTGGTTCTGTACTGTATCTATTATTTTAATCTGATACTTGCATAGATACAGATGCTGGATATCATACTTAGACTTCTATTCTTTTACTTGCGTGAATACAGATGCTGGAACCTTTAACACTCACTTCACTGACTCCTATATTCAAATTATTATTATTTGAGTTTCTAGTGGATAACCATGTTCAATAACAATTTTAAATTTAAATGTATATATTAGTACTGGCCATCATGTCCATACTGAGTGAGTGAAATTCATCATCTCAATGCTGAATGTTATTTTCATGCAGACATTGGTTTTTGAACCAATTTCTTGTATCTCGAACAGTGCTCCTGGATGTGCTGCCACTCATTGTTAAAATGCATTCCATTTTATACAACTCTCAACTCCTCAGAAGTACAGTAGATATGTAAGAGGATAATCTTTATAAAGGAGCATAAATCATGGATGTCGTAGAGAAGATAAATAAGTTTGAACATCTGTAATTCAGGATTTTGGATACAAATGTTTAAGCAGATTTTATTGATGCAGTGGGTAATGTTTTCAAGACATGGTAGCTAACAAATTTATTGCTCATGTAGGTTACCTGGGTTATTCAAACAGGAACAATGTTGTGTGATGGCCCAAGGAAACAAGCCAATAAAAGAAGCTCTTCTTTTCGACAGATTATAGAAATATGTGACAGCATCTAGGGAGAATTGATGTGCTCACAGAAAAAAAAAAAAAACATTGAAAAGAAGTGTTAAATAATTGTTTTTTAAATAGACACATTTTCTTCTTTTTAAAAAAATGAACAATATATTTAAACAAGCAAAAAAAAGAAGATCTTCTTTTCGACAGATTAAAGAAATATGTGACAGCATCTAGGGAGAATTGATGTGCTCAAAGAAAAAAAAAAAAAAACATTGAAAAGAAGTGTTAAATAATTGTTTTTTAAATAGACACATTTTCTTCTTTTTAAAAAAATGAACAATATATTTTCAAAGCAACAAATCAAAATCAATAATGCATGCACAAATAAAAAAGATATTGGATACATTTTTTAAAGAAAATTTGATCCAGCGTAAAAATAGTTCTCACATGAAGTCAAAGTTCATCCTTTCAAACACCTACCAAAATGATATATTTTGGAAGCAAATCAATTTTATTATTCTTTGAATGCAAGAGAAAATAAAATCAAACCCACAACATTTAGAGAAATTAAGTGTCTGACAATATAGTTATGTTGATTAGTTTTCATTTTAAAACTTGCCTTCATCTCCAAGCTCAACATTTTACTGTCACAATAAAGATTTCAATCTAATGATACTCATTCAAATTCACCTTCATTAAAAGCTATTTTCACTGTGCTTTTGTAAATTTCCCTGTCAAATGTAAAGAAAATTTTACCTTTCTTACACAATCCTGTTGGGCTAAAAAAATAACTAATTCACAGAGAAATAAAAGAACTTTTAAAAGCCCAGCCCAAGATGAAATCAAGGCCACATGTTTCTATCAAGACCGTATGTTGCTATCAAGACCATATGTTGCTCTTTACTGACCTTAACATCAAGTGTCATATTCAAGTATTATAAACACATCAAATGAAATGTCCAGTCATAGAACAATACCAAAATTGTAACAGGATAGTTAGATATGATTAAAAAATATGTTAACACTTGTAGTTGCTAGATCTTAAAAACTAATCTATGCTCTTTTATTGCTTTATCAGGTAATGCATAATTTACTTTTTGTTTCCCAATATTATTATATAAACATTAGACTGTATGAATGTGGACCCAGAACCCGATCAGGCTTTAGTTTGGAGTTACAAAATTATCCCCGCTAACTGTTCTATGATTATTTATAAAGCATTTTTCCCACAAATCATGCAGTGAAAAAAAATATAAGATCAAAGATATTAAAAACTGGTAATATATTTTTGAAAAGCATTTTTAATTAGATTATACATTTATTCATGCGTTAAATGAAAATGTTACTTACAAAAAAAAAAAAACAACATCAAAGCTGAAGTGTTCAACCATTTTCCAGCTCTGGCAACAAGACATTCAACTCTTAAGAAGGCACAATTCTCAAAAGATTTAATACTCGTCAAAATCTCATCATTTTCTTTTTTACGACCCTCAACCTGGAAGAAAAATCTAAATCACAACTATAGGCAACAATACCTTTTGCAGTGTAAACCTTTTTGCACTAAGTTGACACACTGGACACATTAAAATAATTGGCTGTATACAATTAATGCATAACAATATTCATCAAATAATGAACTGTGTGACTTTTAGTATAGATTTATTCAGAGACAACTAAATTCAGACTGTAATTTACATTTCTTGACCATTAAAAATATTTTAAAAATAAATAAATATGCGGGTTCAAGGATGTCAGTTTTTCACAATTTCTATGTTATCTCCCTTGTGGCTACATTCCATTCAATAGAATACTATGATACATAGATCCACCTGAAAGAACAACCTAGTCAATAAATAAATATGTAGACACCTTGACATTTTAATACTTTCATGAGGAATTTTTAAACTTTAAATTCAATTTTTCTCAAAACTCTCAAAACCTGACATCACTTGTTTTTTCCTTGAACCCTTCATATATATATGTATTATATTATAAACATATATATATATATATAAAGAAAAATCACATATCATTTTTAAAATATAACCTTTTCAAATTTCATTTGTGAAGTTAAAAAACCATCAAATCAGTAGAAATTGAAAAAGGAAATAAAAATAAGCCTATGGTAAAAGCTGCATTTAGAATTTATGTCATCTTATTGCACAAAATGAATTGTAGCATAAAATATAACATCATAAAAAGAACACGAAATAAAGAACACAATTTTCTTGCTGACTAGATTTGACACAGGTTAATACTTAAATATAGATCTTGTAGATTAATGCAGGACGTGAGACAAAAACAACTGCATCAGATCAGATCAATCAACAACGTCATTTACAAAATTGACATAGACATGCACAAAGCAGACATAATGAGATTATATTTTTAAAAGATATACATTTTTTGATAAGCAAGCTAGGAAACATTGGAGAGGGTGAATCAAAAGTGGTGTAGCAAATGAAACCTATAAAATGATTTGATACGGCTATTTAAAATGTTGTGAAGCACATCAAGTCTTGAGCATGATCTAACACAAGCAGGCCTTCACAAAATGTTTAAGTATTTATTATCTTTTAAAGCCTGGCAATCTATTTGATATGAACTGGAATTCCATTTGTAAAAAATAAAATTAAATATGCCATTATTTTATTCTTTTACTTTTATTTAAAAGTTGGTCAGGATTTTTTTAAAGATAAATTGACCATTTTAAATGATTTCAAGAAAAACGTTCCTTTACAGATCTTCTTCCAAACGAATACAGAGAAACCCTGGAGATACCCCATATGCATAACCTGGAGATATCCCATAGGCATAACCTGCAGATACCCCCATAGGCATAACCTGGAGATACCCCATAGGCATAACCTGCAGATAACCCATAGGCATAACCTGCAGATACCCCATAGGCATAACCTGGAGATATCCCATAGGCATAACCTGGAGATATCCCATAGGCATAACCTGAAGATATCCCATAGGCATAACCTGGAGATAGCCCATTGTTGAGAATGTGAGAACTTACAACAAATGCACTAAGGAATTGAACATGATGATCTGAAGCACAACTTCAGACAGAAAACAGAGATAAAATGTTAATTGTGGTCATTGTGTGTCTCCCATTACTGGTCTGGTTTTTATGACCTAGATTAATGACACAAGGTACACACACACAATAGCACTCCAAAGCTTTGTGGGAAATTATCAGTGTAAGTTAAGGGTTGCCTATTTGCATAAATTTGGACATCTTAAAGTATGCAGGGGGAAATTCTAATTTGCCACAGAAATTTTGTTAAAATAAATCTAGTAGCTGAAAACTGGTATTAGATACCGTAATAAAAATATATACAGACTAACCTGCTTTCTCTTAAAATCTACTCATTGGACATAGAACAACTAATGACTAGCTTTATGTTTCAGACAAGGTCATTGGAATTTATGTGTCAGAACAAGCCTTTGGAATACAATTTTATTTTTAAATTATAAATTTGTCCATCCTGACTTCAATTTAAAAAAAAAAAAAAAAAAGAGAATTTGTTCTTTTTTTAAATTTTAAACTCAGGTGAAACCATTCAAAAACATTTTTTTAATTAATTGAAGTTTGCAAAAACAATTTTTAAAAGGCAATCTTGTATGAAGACAACGATGTTTTTCTGACATGGAGGGTATCGTACACTTACACAATTTTTTCTAATTAAATTTGCCAGCTGGTAGGGAAAAAGTCTATCCAAGTTTTCAGTTCACATGTGATGTTCACTCTGAAGAAAGCTCTCCTTTTGTTGCCGCAGGGGGTTCTCACATCTATGTCAATGACATCTTCTCTGACATCTTGACTGCCACAAATGGATTGTCGTCATCCTAGGATGATATTTTAAATTTGATTAATTTTTGCTTTAACTTGTCACACACTCAAAAGAAAAATAATTATACATCAAACAATGTTAAAAACAGTGACTGGCATCAAATGGAGTTCAAATAATATTGATAGAGATCAGTTTCATAAACTCAAATCGTAAGTTTAAAAATAGTTTTGATCCAGAACAAAAACAATGTAAGTAAATGCCTTCATGGGATGTCTGGCAAACTTCTCCTTAATTTTTCCCAAGAAGCTGGAGCTCCTCTGATCAGAGAAGTGTACATCCTCCTCATCATCCTCCATACCACACGTGTCAGCAGCTGGCAGCTCACCATCCTGGCCTCCAGCTGTTTCTACCAGCTTCATGTACTTGTACTCAAGCCTGGGGGAAAAGGGAAAGTTAACTGTAAAAACTTGTGCATCTCTAAATTTAGCGATCTCTTACATTTTAATGGACAATTATAGCCAAAAGGTGAAAAAGACATCCTAGAGGTGGAAGTTGGGAGGAGATGTTAGAGGAGAATTCTCAGGCTGAATAAACAAAACTATTTGACCAGCTCAGAAAGGGGATTTACATTGGAACATGCTTGCTGCCACCAACTTAGAACATTTGAACATGCTTGCTGCCACCAACTCAGAACATTTGAACATGCTTGCTGCCACCAACTTAGAACATTTGAACATGCTTGCTGCCACGAACTTAGAACATTTGAACATGCTTGCTGCCACCAACTTAGAAATACACAATAAAGCTCAACAAATGCTATTGGGTTTTGGGGTTTAAACTTCTCAATTGACGATGCCAAAATGACAACCACTCAAACTATTAATACAAACTTCTTGTTTCTGGACCAGCAGTAGATGAGAAGTAGAATGAGAAATAGCCCCAAGCCAAGAGTCACTGGAATGGCAACCATCACCTGTTTTTTTTTTAAAAATAGAAATATTTATATAAAATATTCCTGAAATGTAGTGGCAATGTAAAAAAACACAATGACTAGTAAAGCATTCCACAGTCAAGTGCTGAATATGATGACCTTTAGATTCTATAATAAATATTGATAAATCCCCCTACCAACATATTTACCTCAAGTCAAGTGGAAATATTTGTAAAAAAAAATAATTTTTTTTTTTTTTTTTTAAATTTTTGTTGTTAACTAAACTATTTTTAATAAGAAAATGTGCACTGAGTAACAAGAAGTTAAATTCAACTTACTGCAAAGGGAAGTAACTGACATTTCTGACTCATAGGCACCAAACTCTCCTCAGGGAGCTGGAGGCAGTGACTAGATGGAGAACAAATATAAATATGTAATAACTAGCTTGAACACTACTGGAACATTTGAAATTTTTTTTTTAAAATGAAGTGGTCAAAGTAAGCGATTAAATTTCTCTTGAAAGAAAACTATTTCCGTGGCATAGAGCAATAAATTAAGTTATTCTCAATGAGGACTTGGGAGCTAGTGAAAATTAGGAACTTAATCATAGATTTAATACTTGATAATAATCAAGAGCATCAACAGCAAAAGATATTCTTAAAATAACAATAAACCATTATAATGGTACATTTCAGATCCATGGCTCACATAGTTTGTTTCTTTTAATCTTAGAATCGTATTTATTTATCTTTAACTCACTCAGGCGGGAAGTAGTGAATGAGTTGCTCCCCTTTAACGCACTCTCCTTTGACAACCTTGTAATCTTCTCTCCTACACCTGGGGCAGGCATGTCGGGTGTTCCACAGAAAGTGAAAGGTGCAGCCATCACAGGTGCCGTCCGAACATTTGGGTGGTAACAGAATTTCACCACCTTCACCTTTGATGGGATCACAGTGAAGACTGATGATGGTGGTTCTTCCCTTAGGACACACACTTGTAGAGCTGATGGAAGGAGGTGCAATGTTAATTGTGGCATAACTGACTTAATGATATAAGGATTTGTTTCAGTTCTAAAATGTATTCATCTACTATGGCTTAATTAGAATGTTAAATGACAAACTACATGGCGTTAAAAGAAAATAGCCCACAGTTATTCATTCCTTCATGAGAATATGCCCCAAGTGTTATTCAATCAATGTCATGAGTAAAATCCAAGCGTTTATATTTTTATAATTAATATTTTTTAAACCAACCGACCTTCCAGATTCATAGTAGAAATGAATGTCTCTCTCTGTTTCTGAAAATTAAAAAAAAATAATTTTAAAGGTAACTTAAAAATATCTTAGCTTAGACATACTATAATAATATATTATATGAAAAAGTACAAGCTATAAATTTAACAATTTTTTTTATATTAAGTTTGCATTATTATTGAAAAAGGTCTGCCATACAACAATGGAAGAAAGTAGTTTTAACTAACAGTTCTGAGCAGCATGAATAATTCAAGCTCAAAAAGAATCATCCAAGACCAGCCAACTTGTTTAAAACTAAGCTTACCATCAGGGGGAAAGCCATCTTCAATGTACAGTCCGTGGAGACTTATGTTGGTGAGTATCTTTGTCAGGTGTGTACCTAGGCTAAAACAAAAAACAATGTTGAAACCAAGTTTAAATGAAGTTCACCTGAAAGATAATTTGTGTTATATGTAGACCCCCAAATTTTTTTTAAATAAAACGAACGCATGGATATCCATGTTTTCAGTTTGTGCTGACATATATCAGATTAATTAGTGAATCTGGTGAAATTGTCTCACCATAAACTAATTACATTCTTAAAGGGGGAAATAATCATCTAAGGCAGGCCTGCACAACTCAAAATGTAAGGTGGGCCGTAAGACTTTATGAAAAACTTGTGCAGGCCAAAATAAATAGGAAAGGACTTGTGCGGGCCAAAAGAAAATAGGACAGGGGGGAAAGCTACAGAAAATAATAGAATAAAGAATATTCAGTTACAAAGTGGGTGCTGGGGGGCCGCATGTGGCCCGCGGGTCGTATGTTGTGCAGGCCTGATCTTAGGCATTACCTGACAGGCTGAGTGGCCACTATGATCCTGTCTTGGTCACCTTGTGGTACCAGAGTTGACCGGCACACCATGCTAGTCAGGTAACCAGGCTGATTTAGTAGCTGAAGAATCAATAGTTGACAAATTACAGAAATATATACAAAATTCAATTTCAAAGGCTTTGTTTCAAATAATTTATGATTGCTTTTCATTCATAATTAGAAAAGGAATAAAATAGGCTTGATAAATAGCTTCAAGTAGAAATGTTTATAAATTTAGGCTTGTCCTTAGAGAGTCAATTAATTTTTTTTTTCTAATGACTCCTGAAATTGTATGTTTAATAACTGTATATGTAACTACATTTTTTTAAAATAAGCAATATAAGTTGTTGAAATAAACAAGAACATTATTCTATACAAGTTTTAGATGTTTATACAGAATTTGTAAGTTAGTGGAGAAATAAAAAAAAAAGGAGAGTTAAAATCACTGTGGGTTCTACATTTGAAAATAAACACCTTACCCTATTGTAGATTATGTCTAATCCCTAAATTAAGACATATTTTTTATATGTGGTTAAAACATCATGAAATCTTCAATTTCGTTTTCATTAATATTCCATGTATGAATGATTTTTAAAAATATGGCTTTTTTCTTCTTCATTATAATACCATTTAATTTTGACAAAGTGACCCCTCATATAAATGACCATCTTATACCATGGTGGGAATTTGCTCAAAGAAAATAATACAACTAAACAAAAAGCCCTTAAAACCCATCTGTTTAGGTCCGCCTATGACCTGTGATACCCCTTCCTTGCCCTGCCTCATTTTCTGTCTCGGGTTGATCCTGTAATATAGGCCAAAACGTGCCAAAGTGGCCTCGTTTTATAGCCATTTTAATTGTTTCTATAGTATAATAGTTACTATCCTAGTGTCTCATTTTTATTTTACTTAGTTTTCATGTTTTTAATAATTGTAAAGCGCTTAGAGCTTTATGGTAAGTGCTATATAAAAATGCCTAAATAAATAAAATGCTAAATGTAGGACAAACGCTTCAATTAAAAAGTGTTTTCACAGAGATATGATGTGAAAATTAACTCACTCAGGTATTCCCTGACACACAATAATCAAGTTTAAACAAATTTAGATTAATGATTTAAAATAAATCATAACTGGGGATATTTCAATGATCAAATTTTTTTTCTACCTTTTGGTGTTGTAATAAAAACAGATATTGAATCCACATTAATTTCAGCCTAACAACTTTCAGGGAAAACAAAAAATTATTAATATAATTCACGTCAAAATTTTAATTTTTTCATCTGTTATAAGGAAAATGCATTCTCCTGATTAATATCCTGAAAGATAACCACCAGCAGTTACTTTATGCTTTTAATGCCTTTTTTTTTTTTTAAAAAGTAGACTGAATGAAGAAAACATCACAATTCTTGTTTACCCTGAATTATTCAAGTATTCTTCAGAAATCAGAGAGTGTACCAATGCAGTGCAATGCTCATGCTTAATAATATATTGGAAGTGAGCCAATAAGTAGGATATCGAATGCAAACACTGACAGTAGTGTCCTTCTTATGTACAGACATGATCAGGCTGTAAATCATCCTTGGATGCCAGAATGTTTTTAAAAAAATGACCAGAGAGAAGCTTAAATGACCAGAGAGAAGCTTATATGGCCACGACAGATTCATGGAATAAAAAAAAAAAATTTAATTCCCATTCCAACACTAAAAATTTAATCTTAAATATATTTTTTTAAGGGATAAACACAGGCAACAACATCTTAAACAAAAATTAACCCCCACAAAAAAAAAATATTATGAAAGGAGTTTCCTTATTATCTATAAATTTATCTTGCAAATACAACTTTAAAGCTATTTTGGATAACAAAACCGGTCAGGATTTTAAGATTATTTTGTTGTTTTACCTTAAGCCAAATAAATGATTTTCTTTTTAAAGTAATATATACCCCTATTTTTTTCCTCTCAAGTAGTAAATAATTATATCCCCCGTTATACAATTCTAATTCTTTTTCAAAAAGATCAAGAATAAAAATGGGTCCAAGGTAAAGATAGGAACAGGTGAGCAAAGACCAAGAAGAAAAAGAGGCCACCACCTCCTCCTCCACCAAAATGCACAACCAAGTCCACCACCTGTTACATACATTGTCCCTAGATATTATCTCCTGCTCTCTGGAGCCTTTTTTCTTTAACAAATATAAGAACAACAATGTTAGTGTTTTCTTTCTGCTACAAGCAACATAGTTAACTACTACAAACAATGCTATTTCTATTTTTTAACTTCATGTAATTATGACTGGCTCCGTACATGTTTCAAATCAACACTTCCAAATGCATTTCCAGTTCCACAAAAATGGCAAACATTGTGAAAAGTTATTCTGCTCATTAGACATAACCTGGGTCAGTAATCGTACTTGATTTGTGCACATGGGAACATGCCATGTGGGGTGGAGTGTTGAAATGGGGATTGAAATATGCTGTAAATATTAGGATATCATTATATCAAGGCTTATTGGGTCTAATTAATAACAGCACAACAAAGGAAACTTTGAAAGGAGGTTTCAAAGTGGTTGGGTTTGGAAGGGGTGGGGGAGTTAAGATGTAAGAGCTGATTGCTCAAGTAGGAATTATGTCTGAATTAGTTTTTTGTCTACTAATGATGACTCTTCAACCAAATATTGGCTGAAACCTGTAAAGATTGTTATGAACAAATGTTAGTGAATTAATTGGCTGAAATAGTTCAAAGGTAGTTAGATGTCATGCACAGTGTAATGTGTTTTTAACTTGCTAGTGGATTAATTAAGGCAAGATGCTACAACTACTATGAGTTCCCATGTTATTTGTATCATTACAACCTGGCCCAAAGCTCATTGTTAGTCTAAGGTTATGCTGTTAGGTAAAAGCAGTGCCAGGCTGTTGTTGTTTTTATATAATACCTTAGCCAACTTCAACTTGCTTTAAACACATTTGTTAGCCAAGTTAGGACTGATATAGTTATGTGATGTGTAGCGTTTGTCTGTTACCTTCTACTCAACTGCTCATCTAAAGAAAGAAGTTTTCATTGATTTTTAGAAATACTCAAACAAATATCTGTCAATGATGCACACAAAAATCAGGATAATCTTGCAAAATACACTTTAAAAAAACCAAAAAAAACAACTAGTGTACGGAGTAATGTCAAATATAACAAGGGAGGTTACATGTATGAATGAATAACAGTTTAAATAGTGTGGCCTTATGAGTTTTCTTTATGTACATTTAGTTTCAAGGTGGGGGGTCATTTTAAGCTGACTGTAGGGAAATATGACATTAAAATGTTTACGTTCATGTAATATGGTAGCACATTTTACTGGTGATTCAAGGAGACTTTCAGATTAAGTATTCATTAACATTATAAATATTTATTAAGCTCATTATTGTATTTGATTTAATTCCTGGCTTCATTTTAATTTCACTCATTCAATTACAACAATGTATTTTTTTAATAAAATTTGTTTGAATTTTTTTATCAATGGAAGCTTGGAAAGATACAATTTCCTGCAGCAAAAATATTATTCAGTTGAAGTACATGTCAGCTGGACAAGAAGTTGTTGAAAGCTGACATTTCTAGTCTTTAAAATGAGCTTTATATCTTTCTGGCAGGTGAAGAAACACTGATTGGAGATGCACTTTTAACAAGATAGATTATACAACAGGATATAACGGAATACAAACTGTGTGGGAGAAAGAAAAGCCCAACACTCACCATTGTATCCGATGTGACATTGTTGACGCAGGTTGGCAGTGGCTGGTTGCCATGGTTACACAGAGAAATGTTGAAGCCATGATAGTACTGGGCGCCGCTGGCTGTGAACAGGCGAGCTCCAGACACAAAACGAACCCTGGATTTTCAATGTTCAAATTTATTCAGAGTTCAAAAGTCTTTAACAAAATGATTTCTAATGTGTTCTATTCTTTTTAACACTTAATAGACTTAAACATTTAGAATATAAAATTTACATTTGTAAAGATGTAGTGCTTCATGTAACTTGCAAATGAACAATTCATTATATTCAGCACTTATGCAAGTATTAAATATTAAATTTTTACCTGTCAAGCTCAGTGAAATCATATTCCCGGCCCATGTCATCAGTGAAGTGACAGTCAGACTTACAGGACCGACCACCAACTGGGTGGAGGCCCGGCCCACACGGCTTGCATGATGCCTTGCCCCAAGAGTTGCTGCTGGGCAGCACGGTTCCTGGTGGACATGATTCACACTTTTGGGTCTGGGCGTCTATGTACTGGCCATCTGGACATGGGATACAGCTGCAACAAATCACATTTGACTTTTTAACTTTCTTCACATTATGCAGTGTTCTTAAAGATATTTTATGCTAATAAAGTTTTTTTTTTAAATATTTCTTTCATATGAAAAATCTATATTTTTTAATTTAATCAACTTCTTTAAAAATTGTACTTTCTTTTAAAGTTCAAATACTCTTTGGTTAATGAATTAACTTTGGTATGTACCCTTCATCAGATTTTCCTTCAGGACAGGATTCACAAGTGGTCGCTCCCCCTGCAATAGTGTTTGTGACCTTGATGCTGTAAATCTTGGCAAAGTTATTCATCTTCCTCAGCTGACCATATTCCTCCGCTGTTGTAAAGCCGAAGTCGTCTGGTTGAAAGGCCCAGGTCAGTGTGATGGACTCATTGGTGAAAATATCTTGGCTGGAAGGTAGATATGAGTTACAATTTATTATTTGTTAGCTGCATCAAAATACATGGACAATGGTAAGAAAAAAATAAAGAAATAAAATAATAATAATAGAAAATAGTCCACAAAGAAGTCAAGTTAAATAAACTGTGTAAAAAAAAATAAAAAAATATCTAATTCAAATAAGAGCAAAAAAGATTTTAAAAAAACAATGTATGTATATTACGTGTATGTTTTCTTTGGACCACTTTCATTCCATGTTTGAAGGACAGCATTTCTTCCAGTTGCATCCTGTTAGAATAAGAAAATTAAACCATAAAAAGAAAGTTAATGAAATACACAACTAAACAAGATGGAAAATTATACTTTTTTTTTTTAAAGGCAAGGGATTTTTTTTAAGGCAAAGTAATTTAAGAATGGACGATTTAGGTTGTAAAAAAATGTTTGCCTTTGCAAAAATTGATTAGATCAAACTTTCAGCATTTTATCAATAGACTTACAATGTTTGTACATAATTTTTATAGTTTGACATTTTACTGCTTTAAGTCACTTGGAAAATTTAATTTCTTAATGAAACTAATAATTATAAATTTTGTTAGCAATGCGCACGAAATATCACAAACTCTTTACTTTGATTTTCTCATTTCTCTTCTCAGTTGCATTTTTTGCTTTGATTTTAAAAGGTCAAATATTATTCTTAAAAGTGTTCATATGTAACCAAAAAAAAAACCAATAAAAAAAAACACATCCTGTAACTCAAGGATATTTACTCTTTGTCACGTCCCAAACAACACAGCCTATAAGTCATAGATATTTACTCTTTGTCACGTCCCAAACAACACAGCCTATAAGTCATAGATATTTACTCTTTGTCACGTCCCAAACAACACAGCCTATAAGTCATAGATATTTACTCTTTGTCACGTCCCAAACAACACAGCCTATAAGTCATAGATATTTACTCTTTGTCACGTCCCAAACAACACAGCCTATAAGTCATAGATATTTACTCTTTGTCACGTCCCAAACAACACAGCCTATAAGTCATAGATATTTACTCTTTGTCACGTCCCACTTACAGATAAGAAAATCAGCTGGCAGGCTGTGGTACACTCCACCTCCAGTTCAAAAGTGACAGTGCCGAGAGCCATTGGCTTGCCATCCACAGAGCCAGGCTCTCCCCTAAACCCGGGCAACTTCAGAAGCAGCACTAGGAAGATGTTGTTGTCATTGACCCCAAAGCTGGTCCTCACGTGGTCACCAGAAGGCAGCCAGCCGGCAATGTTGGAGCACTGGCTCACTGCATTAAAAAACATCAGATGCCTCATAGGTTCAAATGCACTTAATGGGAATATCAATAATTTTTTTTTGGCTTCTTTTCTTAATACAAAATAAATACAAATATATATTTAAGAATTTGAAACATCATATTTACATAAGAATCATTGATTTTGTTAAGAAAAGGGTTGTTCTTTAAAGTTTCAAAGGAATAAAGAAAAAAAAAAGAGTATGAAGATGTATTAAATACAGAACAAAGCAATGAGCATTTAATCTGACATGGTTCTGAAAAGGGGAAACACTCAGCCATTGTTTACGCCTAGGTTGGTTGTCAGTGTTGTTGGGTTTTGTTTTTTTTTTTGCATTCACTTTTTTCCAATTTTCATTTTGACATCTTTATTAATTATTCTTTTTTTTTAATGGGCAACAGGAGAATGTTTTTTTTATGGTAAAAAAAAAAAAAAAAATTGACAAACTTAAGCTAATCTGTTTCTAGCAATAAAAGCTAATTATGCAATTTAAGTTGACCAAGGGTTATAATAAATTGTCCTAACAAGATGATGACATACAAAATATGTGAGCAATTATTTAATTTTTGTAATAAATCTTAAGACACTAGTCAGGACAACAGAATGAGTATAGCTAACTAATGTATGGCAGAGCAACCAACACCACACATAGTTAGCTCAGTCAGACTAAGCCTCTTACCTCCTACAGCAACACAATGTGCTGTGACATTAGGTGGCATCACTGTCCAGTGCTGGTAGTCTATGTTGTAGTTGGGTGAAGTATTCACTCTGCAGTCCTTACACTCATTATTAACTAGAAGAGAGAGAGAGAGAGGCAGTGAGAGTAGCACACACAATAGTCTTACACTTTTCTGTACAGTTTATGCTGTCAAAACCTTACATCATTACAAATATCAATCAGAAATTAAAAAAAGGGGGGGGGGGGGGGGGGTAAAAAAGGAGGAGGGCGCTAAACTAATGAGACGCTGGATTTTTTTAAAAAGCAAGATGTAGTTTGCCTGGATAGCTACATAAACCAATGAAATGTCACCTACTCATAATATTCATGAAGTTAATTTGTCAGATGCTCATAAATGCATCTGTTGAAAGTTATCTGCTGAATGTTCATGAATCATCATTACAAGAAGTCTGATTTAGAAACTAAAGAATTGCTCCTTAGTCACTCACCCACAAACTGGTTGGGTTTGCAAAAATCACACTGTGAAGCGTTGACTTGATACATGCCCTTGTTACAGGGCGGACAATTCATCCAATCACCATCTTTGGGCAAGGGAACAGAGGATTCATTGTTCTCATTGCAGATCTTGGGCTCAATCCATCTGTAGCTCATTTGAGTCTGGGGATCGCCATAACAATTGGATGGACATGGGGGAGTTTGAAAATTATGGTCAATGTGTAACTCAAATAACTTCTTCCACTTTTTCACTTGAAGCATATTCATCTCTTGGTTTTACAAATTAGAGATACATGGATAACTGAGTAATAAGCCATATAAAATAGGAATAATAATAAATATATAATATAGGAGGCCAAATATCAATTCTATTTCATTAAAACTTGAAGAACTTGATTTTTATTTATTTTTTGCCCATGACATTTTTATTCTTGAACAGAAAACAATTGTACTGTTTTGTTTTATCCCAAATATCTTTTATTTGTGATAGTAAGAAGAGTCTCTCACCAATCCTTGATCATTACATGGCTTCAGATACTGATAGTAGTCAAACTCTGTACAAGATGGCCTCACAGAACAACTTTCTGAACCCGGCTCTAGAAGATATGATGTCATGTGTTTTAGATTCAGTTTATTTTTTTAAATAACAGTTTTACACACACAAAAGTGGAGAATAAAACACAGACATTTGTTACTTGTGCATTAAAAAAAATAAAATTAAGTACATATGCTTGCAATGTCCAATAAGTAATGATAATGCTAGTAACCAACCTGCATATTCTGTTGACTGACAAGCGGTGCACTGGGTGGCACCATGACCAGAGTAATGGTCTGCATCACACATCTGACAGTATGATGTGCCGCCACTGCTGTAGGTGCCATTGGTGCATTTGGTGCACTCGGATGTGTAAGCAACACCTACAACACAATGTATTTGCGTTTATGCTTATGATAATATAAGCAAGGCCAAATGGCTCCATCAAAACTACACTGCAAAAATTACCAGTAAAATAACTTTTTTATTATTATGACATCAACCAAATTTTTTTTTCTTGTCCAGACCAATGTCCATGAAAGAAAAAGATAGTTTCAGTTTTTTTTAATGATTAATATTTGCAACCTGACACAAGATAAAGTGACTCCTGTGAACCTAATGTACCGCCTTGCCGATTTTCTGTTTCTGTCCCAGAAGCTGATTTTGTAAAAAGCTGACCTAGTGTAAATGTTTGGTTTCACTTTGCTGTGTCCGATGAGTCCATTTGCATTGTGAGTCAGTCAGCTGTTTCATGTTTACAGCCCAATTTCATTTGATTTGATTGATTTTTCTAGTGGCTATTCGTTGATTTCTTGGTACAATTGAGCCAAGTGGCTCAGGAACATGCTCCCTTTATAGATTTACTGCTAGTAATTAATTTTGAACACTGCAATATGATAAACATTAGTTTTATATCTCAGGCATCTGAGTAAGAAAAATGTCAACAACCACGAGTTGAAAGTTGGTGTAACTATTTATTATCAGTGCCCTGCAGAAAGGGGGAGCTAAAGGTGGAACACATTTACAGCAAGAATGAGTGGACTATTCACACAACTTTGCTACAACCATTGAAGGTGTGCTCTTTAATAGTAGTTATAGAACTGATCTCAGCAACTTTCAAACAACTGAAAGTATGTGAATGGCAAGCCTCTAGTTACATATACAGTGGTGAGAAGTGAAAAGAACGGCAGATAATTTTTGATTCAAAACAGTCACAATGTTCATCCAAATCTACATGACACTAAACAAACTCAAAGATAGATTATCTACATGACAGATGACATTTCATCGTGGATATAATTATCTGTGTGCAAAGAAATATTTGTTTTTCAAAATTTCCAGTGTGTACCCAGACAGGATTATACCATACTTAGCCATTGAATTCACCATGGGATAACAGCCAAAGCCTGGCTAGTAGACTAAAACTCAATTGTGTCTGTGTTACAGTACATCACGATGATGAATCGAAAAAGACTTCAGTCAATACTGAATATGATTGGTTGTCAACCAGAGAGCCATACAAAAATAGAGGCCTTAATGAACAGATTCTGGGGATAATGCAACAATGACCATGGAAGTTTAATAAAAATTGATGGCATAGCCATTAGCTTCACAGTCAGATTGGAGAAATTGTAAGTACAATGTTACTAAATATTTTTTTTTAATTTAGTTTATGTGATTATGGTCTACATGAACCATGTATTGTGATAATATGATACCTGTAGTCCAAATGAAAATCTTTAGATATTACTGTCTATGATTCAACAATAGCCTATCATCCTGATATTGATTGTGATTTTTTTACTGGCATCAGTTTCTTTTATTTTAAAACCTAAAGGGTTATAATTTTACACTGCTTATTTTGTAATAGTTTTGAGGGTTGTTTTTTATGTTTTCTTGGGAATAAAGGAGTGGTCAATGTGTCAAATGTGCTTTGGACAGATAATCTTGTGTTTTATCATGAGTAACAAATGGAGTTTTTGGATACCTCAGGCTTCAACCAAATTTAAATCCCCCACTTTGGAATCAACAGTCCTCCAGACCTGTTTACCCTCAAACTCTTAAAATCGTACAATATCACAAAATCGTTCAATACACAAATCTTAATAGTAAAAATAACACACACATTATATTTAAGGTATACACCTCAAAATCGTACATTGTACGCCAAAATCGTAAAAGTAAACAGGTCTGGTCCTCCATCTTGTATGATGGCAGGATCATCAAAGCAACAAACCAAAGATAGGTCTGCTGCAGACATTATTATTGTCTAAAAAAGTGATTCTAACAAAAGCCAAACTGTTCAAAATGCAAAATTAATCTCAAGAACCTAACAGCTATTGTGACAGAAAAATGATTCACTGAACGCTGACCAATTTTGGTGAAAAACTTAAAGACTCAAAGACTTTGAAGAATGAAAACAATATGTGCAATACGATCAAAACAAATTTTCATTTACTTGGATTAATAAAAGCATATTATATTATCTTAAAACCATGTAAATACTTGCGGGAGTCAAAGATTTAAAAGTGAAATGGAAGGAATCACTATTTGAAGTCCAGTACATATAACTACTTAACAAAAGGTTTCCTCTTGAAAAATAAAAAATACTAACAGCAGAGGGAGATCTAAGGGGAATCTCTCTTACCGGTAATTTCAATTTTTCTTATGAGCAACGGGCTGACAGTGGAATGCATTATTTCTGATAAGGCTCCAATAGTTCTCCATTGTAGGACAGTCATGCCACTCTTCAAGTTGACCTAAGGTGGGAAAGCAAACACATTGGCATTGCACGGATATTTTTTTTAAGCAAGACACAAAAACAGAATGTTTTAATGTCAAAGAATATGAAATAGAAAAACACAATTTAGTTCTGGAAACAATATTAGATTAAATAAATAGTAAACAAGACCCTATAAAAACATGACTAAAATATCCTAACTTTTTTTGTTAGTTAGAAGAGCCAAACACTTTAATGGAATTTTTTTTATAACAACAACCTTTTAAACAAAATGAACTTTTGGCTTACTCTTACAGGATACAGTAAAGTTTGATCCGAGGCCAAAATTAAGCTCCCCAGTGTTCCCAAACTAGACATTTCTAAAGTTCCCAAATGGGGCATTTGCAAAGTTCCCAAATTGGACATTTGTAAAGTGACCAAATTGGACATTTGCAAAGTTCCCAAACTGGACATTTGTAAAGTTCCCAAACAGAACATTAGTAAAGTTCCCTAACTGGACATTTGTAAAGTTCCCAAACTGAACATTAGTAAAGTTCCCAAACTGGGCATTTGTAGTGTTGCCAAACCAGACATTAGTAGTTTTCCCAAACAAGAAATTTGTAGTGTTCCCAAACGAGTCACATGTGTGCCCCAACCAGACATATGAGCAGTTGAATGCCAAAACCCAGATATTTTAACAAAAATGAAACATAAAAATAAAAAGTGATTTTTTTTTTTTTTTGTTAAAAGTAACCAATTCTAAGATTATTAAAATCATATTAAAACTCAGAAAAGACACAAAATACCCAGAACAATATTAGTCTTTTAAATTTAGCACTATTAAGCTTCACATAAAATCAATCAATGCTGATGTACAATGCTGAAGACAAGAATACCCCAGGGCGATCCAGTGTTGAACATGTAATAACAATGGGCTGAATTTCCCACAATGAAAAAAATGTTGCCAATTGAGGGATCACTGTTACAGACAGTGAAGACAGCTAAAATGTGTTTTTATGGACAAGGACAAAGGACTGGGTGCACATTCATCAGTAACAATAAATATGTTCAGAAGACTGGAGTGCATTCCCCTTGCTGTCCATAACTCAGGTTATGGTAGCTTATAAAATAAAACATGAAAACATTGCCCTTTTTATATTTTCAATTGATTTCTTCAAAGCATTTTAATATTTTTTTTTACAACGGTTTAAAATAAAAATGCAGCAACTAATCTTATGCATGACAGATCACTTGTTCCTCTCAGCTGATTACAATATTATTTGTAAGCAAAACATTCATTAAAAAATATGTTAAGTAACAATAAAGAAAAATAAATGACTAACCACTACAGTTGACCATTTCCCTTCACTGGTGATCTCTGGCCATTTATCATTCTCTTCACTATCCAGGGCCTGGCACTGTTCATTCTGGACCTAAAGAGTGGAATAAACATGGTGATTTACAGTAGCTGAATGCAGGCACGGTTAATAAATTAAATGAAAATATTATTATTGTTCTTTTTGTTGATTTTTTTTTGTGTTTTTTTTTTAATCCAAGGGAAGAAACTCTCAAAAGAAAAAAAGCCACCCAGACAGGAAGAAATATTCTCTATGAATTCATGGATAAATGAGGTGAGGAAAATCAATAATAAAGCTTAGAATTCCACATGAGATGAAGAATCCAATTGCCAGGCATTTTTACAAGCATACGGCTGGCCAGATTAAATATTTTAGTTAGGGATCACATGTGGTTGGAATACCTACAAAAAAAAACATTCCGACAAATAAAAATATTGTGCATGCAGTTTTTCTGGGGGGAAACCTGTTTTTGATCCCAAAAGATAGCAACTAAAACACACACAAAAATAAAACTACTAACTGTAAAGTGAAAGATGGACTCTGGATCTGTGTACTGGTATTCAAAGGAGACCTTGCCAGGCCTGACCAGCTTTGCAGAGAACAACAAGTTGCTTGGACATTGACTAGGCACAGACATGATGTAGTTCCCTCTGGGCGTCCATTCTGACCTGTTGGGGAGAAATGTAAATAGTGTAACCATGGCCAGCATTAATTACACTTAGATTTAAGCATTCATAAACAAGCAACACAGATGGAACATTTTTATTCAATGGACCGGATTCATGATTGAAATGGTTGATAATACAAAAATAAACTCAGTGTTTAATATAAATGGAAGTTAGAGAACATAAAACATAACAATCTAACGTCAACATCAAAGACTGTAATTATTTATATTTTTTTAATGAAAGACGATGTCAAAATAAATGTGTTTCTTTGGATAATGGGAAATTATGAAAAAGCAGTCATTTTTCTCTTTGCACTATCCTTTCATAAAACTTTTTCTTCCATGTTCCAAGGCATTAACTTTTCCTTTTTTCACCCCAGGCTATGTCTGATCTTTCTATTATGTCCCCTGCCAGAGACAGAAATCAGACTGCATTCGGTCCTTGTTAAATCCATTTTGCCTCCCTTTATTGGATTCAACATTGCCTGACATGTGCCCATATTTTCTGTATGGCTTTTGCATGTTGATACAAATCAAGCCGGAGATAATGGGGAGGCTAAAAATAGTGGACCAGAAGAGCCTCCAATTTATCCCACAAATGGAATAACAATGTTGTTACTGCCAAACCTATCTGGGAATCCTCCATTGCTTTAGGAAAACATTACTCTTGACAAAATCAGGTTGTATGACTGGTGTGTGACAATTTACAACTGAGTTCCTGCAACATGCAAGGGTGGGTGGTATGGTGTATATAAAATGTAGCATATTAGGAGAGGCAACATGACACAAAAAAGGTAACAGCTACATTTATTGATTTGTTCAATGTCACAAATCCTCTGTTAGCCTGTGTTCTAAAGAAGACCAGTGGCCTGTGGCTAAAGGGGGGTCAATAAGCTGATGATAATCGGCAGCCCCTTAAGGCCGTGAGCAGACTTCAGCAGTTAAAAGTCTCAAAAAAGAGCGGGGCAGGGGGTGCTTGAGGTAATCAAGGGGGTGCTTGAGGTAATCAAGGGGGTGCTTGAGGTAATCAAGGGGGTGCTTGAGGTAATCAAGGGGGTGCTTGAGGTAATCAAGGGGGTGCTTGAGGTAATCAATAAGGGGGAGAGTGGGGGGAGGGAGGGGGTGCTTGAGGTAATCAAGGGGGTGCTTGAGGTAATCAAGGGGGTGCTTGAGGTAATCAAGGGTCTATGTGTGAGAAAATAATAATTTAATATAAATGTTTATACCATATTTCTTTTATGAAATAGACCAATGCGTTTAAAGACTACAGCAAAAAATAATGTGTAAATCTGACCAGTGGATCATGAGGCAAGCTAATAAATGGTACAAGACATCCTTGTAAAGGCATTTCAAAACAAAGAGGGGGTCTAATGTTGAGAACGAAGCCCATGATGTCATGTGCGTGTTTATTATAGTTGCAATGAATTAGGGTTTAGGTTAGGTTGAGGGATCGATTTAGGGTTCAGGTTAGGCATAGGGATCCATTTAGTTTAGGTTTAGTGACAGAATTAACTAGTTGTGTCAACCAAGATGGCGGCCAGCGCGGGCCTTGTTCTCAAAATTTACCAAAGCGGGAAGTCCCTTCTATCAAGCCAAGAGTATTCCTATGCCTGGATAATGCCATGAATGACATGTGTAAAAAACAGTGAGCATCATTGACATGTGTAACAGACAGTCAGCATCAATGACATGTGTAAAAACAGTAGCATCAATGACATGTGTAACTGACAGTCAGCATCAATGACATGTGTAACACTAACAGATAGTCAGCATCAATGACATGTGTAACAGTCAGCATCAATGGCATGTGAAAACAGTAGCATCAATGATATATGTAACAGACAGTCAGCATCAATGGCATGTGAAAACAGTAGCATCAATGATATATGTAACAGACAGTCAGCATCAATGGCATGTGAAAACAGTAGCATCAATGTTATATGTAACAGACAGTCAGCATCAATGGCATGTGTAAAAAACAGTCAGCATCAATGGCATGTGCAACACCTGGGCTGTTTAAACCAGGTGGCAACACACAAGGTATATCCCTTGCCACCAAAGATATCCCTTGTAACAAGATGTGTGGCTTAATGGCAGGCCATTACAAATGCTGCCTCCCCCTTCTGTCACAGCACATTTGGTACTGACAAACAACTGGTTTATAAATAGCCCAATTTATACTGTGAACCAGGGAAGTGGAGTCCAGGTGGTCGTTTACCTGATGTTCTCTGACCAGTGAATAATGAAACAAAAACTGACTGGGTCAAAGAGAATACAGAATAAGCTCTTCAGCAGTAAACAGAACATGGTACTCTGTCACTGTAAGACAGGGGTTCTTAACCAGGGGGAGGCAGTGTCAGAGGGTGCAGGAAGACCAAAGAACATCAGGCTTATTTACAATTTTATTAGTTATTTTTACTGTGTAATAGTGGGAAGTATGTTTTGACATGCAGATGGGGGTGTGGGAAATGTTTTGAAATCAATAAGGGGAGTGGCGCTTCAAAGAGATTAAGAACCCCTGCTGTTAGCAGGAAAAACATCCAGTAATTCACTACTCCATTAGTACTACTACACTATACTATGTGGACACATTTTTTTTAGGTTGAAAAAAAAAAAATGAAACATTGAACAATGAAATAGGTTTTTTTTCAGGTTGATCCACTTAGGCGTGACATAATCGTGAAATGTGGCTGGTGGGTTTATAATAGTAGTGAGATATGGCTGGTGGGTTTATAATAGTTGTGAGATATGGCTGGTGGGTTTATAATAGTAGTGAGATATGGCTGGTGGGTTTATAATAGTAGTGAGATATGGCTGGTGGGTTTATAATAGTAGTGAGATGTGGCTGGTGGGTTTATAATAGTTGTGAGATATGGCTGGTGGGTTTATAATAGTAGTGAGATGTGGCTGGTGGGTTTATAATATTTGTGAGATATGGCTGGTGGTTTTATAATAGTAGTGAGAAATGTCTGGTGGATTTATAATGATAGGCTGTGATATAGTTGTGAAATGTGGCTGGTGGGTTTATAATGATAGGCTGTGACATAGCTGTGAAATTTGGCTGGTGGGTTTATAATGATAGGCTGTGACATATCTGTGAAATTTGGCTGGTGGGTTTATAATGATAGGCCTTGACATAGCTGTGAAATTTGGCTGGTGGGTTTATAATGATAGGCTGTGACATAGTTGTGAAATGTGGCTGGTGGGTTTATGATAGGCTGTGACATAGCTGTGAAATTTGGCTGGTGGGTTTATAATGATAGGCTGTGACATAGCTGTGAATTTGGCTGGTGGGTTTATAATGATAGGCTGTCACATAGTTGTGAAATTTGGCTGGTGGGTTTATAATGATAGGCCGTGACATAGTTGTGAAATTTGGCTGGTGGGTTTATAATTATAGGCCGTGACATAAATGTGAAATGTGGCTGGTGGGTTTATAATGATAGGCTGTGACATAGTTGTGAAATGTGGCTGGTGGGTTTATAATGATAGGCTGTGACATAGTTGTGAAATTTGGCTGGTGGGTTTATAATGATAGGCTGTGACATAGTTGTGAAATTTGGCTGGTGGGTTTATAATTATAGGCCGTGACATAAATGTGAAATGTGGCTGGTGGGTTTATAATGATAGGCTGTGACATAGTTGTGAAATGTGGCTGGTGGGTTTATAATGATAGGCTGTGACATAGCTGTGAAATTTGGCTGGTGGGTTTATAATAGTAGTGAGATATGGCTGGTGGGTTTATAATGATGGGCTGTGAGATAGTAGTGAAATGTGGCTGGTGGGTTTATAATGATAGGCTGTGACATAGTAGTGAAATTTGGCTGGTGGGTTTATAATGATAGGCTGTGACATAGTTGTGAAATTTGGCTGGTGGGTTTATAATGATAGGCTGTGACATAGCTGTGAAATTTGGCTGGTGGGTTTATAATAGTAGTGAGATATGGCTGGTGGGTTTATAATGATGGGCTGTGAGATAGTAGTGAAATGTGGCTGGTGGGGTTATAACGATAGGCTGTGACATAGTAGTGAAATTTGGCTGGTGGGTTTATAATGATAGGCTGTGACATAGTAGTGAAATTTGGCTGGTGGGTTAATAATGATAGGCTGTGACATAGCTGTGAAATTTGGCTGGTGGGTTTATAATGATAGGCCTTGACATAGTTGTGAAATGTGGCTGGTGGGTTTATAATGATATGCTGTGACAGTTGTGAAATGTGGCTGGTGGGTTTATGATAAGACTGAGCATGATAATGGGGAAGGGGTTAGAAGAAATAACAGAAAACACATTACTATATGTTCCACATATACTCTTGTGTAAGTCGAGAAATTTTTGGTGTAAACTTCATTTTAAAAGGCAAAATCGAATCATCCCCGGGGTCAGTTCCAGTTTTAACAGTATTATTGAATGCAGGGCGATTTTGAATTACCAGTTGTGCTAGTGTACCTACCAGGGGCTGTACGTTAACCCAGATGCTGGGTACACACACAGAAGGAGATTTAGATATAAGCATCTGGTGTGATAAGTCTGGAGTCAATTATACATCAGCCATAGTTTAGTATAATCCGTGCTAAGTAAAAATCACAGAATTTCAAAGCCCCAAGTTTTACCCTCGTCTTATCGATGAGTCATAGCACATTTTGTAATTTTTATTTCAAAACTTATAGACTAGATCGACTCTACTTACAATATACAGTAAGTATAGCACACTTACAACTACATTTTAAAAATCACAGTCGAAAGAGAATAGAAGCTGCATCAAGCAATCAAGTTTTAATTAAAAATCTATTGATTACCATATTTTGAGGAGGATGGTGGGAGATATAGGACTGATTGGGGGGGGGGGGGGGGGGGGAGACTGACTTTAATTGAAAAATGTGATAGGAATAATCTGTCTGCTGGTTTCTCTAATGGCTGCTTAGATTTAAACTGATTTTCAAATAAAAACAACATAAATTCATAGCTGAAATGTAGTGCAAGTGTTGAATTTCAACAAAAATAGTTCCCTTTACGGACCTTGTTGTTTTTTTTATCTAATCAGGTTACATGCCTTGAGGGATTCAAAAGCCGTAAAAAGTAAATTTTGTAAAAAAAATCAATACAGCAGAGTGAGACAACAACAATAGATAATGAAGAGAAGTGTAAGAAGCCTGAGAGAAACAAAATATGTCATTTATGGAAAACCCACAGGGCCAGGATGTGACAAAATGATAGAAAACAGACTCTCTCATTCATCTTTGAGAAATTCTAATTCCCATTCAACTGAGAGCACAAAAACATGATAATATATGCAGTATGGATTTTCTCTGTCACTTAAATCAAAGAGTCTCTACACAAAATTTGACCATCTAAACCATATGCTTGCCAGAAGACAAAATTATCATTTTCAAGCGTTGAAAAGTCTGTGTGCATGGGGGTTGGGGGGTGTCAGAGGAAGCGGTTACAATCAGAAATCATTATTTTTATATCACATAACAAAAAATCTCAGCCAAAATAAATATTTAGCTAGTTAGTTATCATTTTTTGCATAAAGTCATGATAGCAATGAATCTTCTATTACCAGTAGCTTAAAAGCTCCTTATACCCACAGGGCTTTTAATACAAGATGGCAGAACATTGTTGGCATCCAATGTCATCGTGAGAAGGTGTAATCTTAATGGAAATTTCATAATGGTGTAATCTTACTGGAAGTTTCATACATAAAAATTATTAAGCCTGAACACTGCTGGTGGAACCAAAAGAAAGTCAAATTATTGAAAAATTTTGGCACCACTTGCATTCCAGGATTTGCAGAAGTTACACTAAGTTTAATGTCAGACAACTTTCTAAACACCATTTACAGATTTTTATTTCAGTAGGGTTTACTACATGTAACCTTAACCATAGATGGTGTAGCTGAAGGGCAGCGGAAATGCGTACAAGTTTTACTTCTTCTCTGACGAGTCACTGCTATCCAGACTTCCTGGAATTGTGTTGGCTTTTTTCCCCAATAATATTGCTGGGTTTTAAACACGTATTCATGTCATGCCTTGAACTCAATACACCTCTTAGGATTTTTCTTTATTAACTGATTTAACGAAAAAGAACCCCCAAGATTGGAAATAATATAATACATTTTAAATTATATTTTAAAGAGAATTGGAGCCTTCTTTTAAATTATTTTTTTTAACTTGCATTGAGTGTAAACTATCCAGTACTATTGCATCCAACACTTTTTTTTTTATCAATCGAAGTTGGTGTTGAAAAGAAAAACTCATAAATACTGATTAGCTGCACTAGTACTCTAAGAAGATATTTGTAAAGAAACAGCTCTCAATGCAAAACATTTTTGTAATTGAAAGGTTTTTTACAATGTTAAATGTTTGTTCTAGTGAATAATGTTATGATTTGCTAGTGTGGCCAGAGAGTCCAAGAAGTTTGGTAGGCATTTGTCATTGATTCTCATTGTGCAATCGACTGTGTTATCTCAAATACTATTAAGATGTGTGCATTAAAACACACAAAACTGCTTTTAAGGTTATAGCATGTTAATGCAGGCTTTTTAAAAAAGTTATTCATTACCTTGAGCAATTTTCCCTATCATTGATTCGTCTCCTCCAGCTATTCATTCCGACCTGGCTAATGTGCTCAAGTTTGACAGCAAAGCCAAGTGGCAGCTTGTCCCAATCACTGAATCTGACACCTCCACCCAAGGAGTAGGAACCTGCCGGGCATGGGTGACACTCTTGGTCACCTTGGATGTCCAGATATTCACCAGTGTTGCAAGCAAAATCTTAAAATTTCAATCAAAGAAAGGGACCTGTTACTGTCCATCCACACACAAAAACTTTAATTAGTTAACTCCCTTCCATACTTCTGACATTAAAGTACAGTCGAACCCAGTTATGTCGACGGCCTCGGTGTTTGCCAAAATGAGTCAAGATAAACAATGATCGAGATAACCAAAAACCAATATGGCCGCAATATATTAACATGTCCTTTAAATTACTTTATGTACATGATGTGCATTAATAAATGCAGGTACTTCAGTACAAAAAAAATTATAAATAATTTTTTAAATATTACAGTTATTTAGAGCAAATTTCAAATTAAATAAATGAAACCAGAATCAACTTTTTAACTTTAGTACTTTCTGAGCTACGAATTTTTAAAGTGCGAGTTCGTTTGGTATTTTCTACTATGGACGAAGCCACCACATTTTGTGACCTCATTCTGCTGATAGTGTCTTGCGCAATGACTATATAGTTTATATAAGGCAACGCATCCCTTATTTACTAAAATAATATTTAGAGACTACTTATTTTGAACTTTCAACTTTGCCACATAACTAATTAATTTAAGCTTTCCCTGACCAATGGTGTGTATGGTGGGGGGGGGGGGGGGGGGGGGGGGGGGGGTGTCAGAGGAAGTTTCTTATGAATGAAACCTTGACATAGTACCACAGCATAGCCATTATGCAAGTGATCGTGGAGGGTTGCCATGGCAACGTTTCGCACACTGCAAATTATGATAATTTATAATATGGACTTTACTGGGTTTTTAAACCTTGAATTAAAAACATATTTATTTAAATTACTTCTAGGTTCAGTCTAAAACACAAGTCCTGTATTTTGAGAAATAAATAATTATTTTTAATTATGAAAAATTTGTTTATTTGTTGTTTGCTATTTCTTCTTGCGGAGTTCAAAAGCTGGCGATTGGTCATGGGGATTGAGATAGCTGAGGTAAAGTGGCAAATTTGGCAACATAAAATAATCTACATAACAGAGCAGATAATGCTAAGACAAAGAGAGAATTTGGCGGTTCCACATCAAAAACGTCAGCATAACAGGGTTGGCTAGTTAACCGAGGTCAAGATAAGCGGGTTCGACTGTATAACATTATAATTACAAAACTTCTGCAAATAAGTGTAATATAAGACATCAGATATTCTTGAACTTATCGATTTGAGCTGAATCCTAAATTTCTTAAGTATTTATAATTACCACTGATCAGTATTTCAAAACATTCACCACCATAAAAAGTTTATGAATCCAAAACTTATTTTTAAAAAAATGGCTTTGTATTTAAAGAACAAACTTACTGCATTCTTTTCCTCGCATTGCTGTTCCAGGAGATGTGCCTGGAATACAGGATCCAGGGTTCTTTGGTACAGACACCCTCCATCTACCACCCTCAGTGTCACACTCAGTATACACATAATGGTACTCATCCTTTACAAAGTACACAATAAATTAGTGGGCAGCTAAATCAATACATTTTTTTAAAAGATAGTGAGAAATTTCTGATAAAATAAAGGTTAGAACATTTTCTTTGGTGTAGCTGAGATTCAGGTCATCCTCAAGTATATATATTTAAATTTTAAATTAAAACATGCTATTATAAAGATTTTGAAAGGTCTCACAATAACAGGAAAAAAATTGATTTGTTTAGAAAATAAAAGCAATAAAACAATGTTTTATGAAAAAATCTTAAAATCAAATACAAATTTTAGAATTAATAATTAGGCTAAGCCTCACACAATATCAATTTTTTTTTTATTAAAGAAGAAATACAGTGGCCATCCAACACTACTTGTATGGCTCATAAAAAAAATCCCCCATTTAAATTTGAAGACCAATTTTCATATTTTACTGACAATAAATGTATTCATTTTCATTTTTTAAATTTTTTTTTAGTTTAACCCCTTTGCTACCACTGGTCTTTGGCTTCGATTTTTGCAGACTCGGCAATAAAAAAACTTAAAAGATGAAATTTTCGGTATATTTCATTCTCTATCTGATTTGCTTTTTAACTTCTCTACGAATAAGGAAATATATAGCATTGAAATTTGACGTCGACGTGCCATCCTTGGTATTTCAGAAAAGTTCTTTAACTTTTTTGTTATTACGACGATGTGACGTCCTTGGTAATTGAAAGTGGGTGACCGTGACATCGCGTCGACGCCATCGGTAGCGAAGTGGTTAAAAGAAAAAGGATAGAACAAAATAAAGAAAATAATTTTGTTTACATACTTATTATGTAACAAATGAAATAGTAAAGATGAAGAAAATTTTAAAAACTTGTAAACATTATTTTGAAAACTGTTCATAAGGCAAGTCATAAAAGAACTTTGTTAAGAATATCTAATTTTCTTATTTTGAACCAACATTTGTGTTGACACATATTGATACAGATTTAGATACATTTAAATTTACCTATATTAATGGAGGTGTTAAAACCACAATTAATTATACTTACCAAATGACACACTTGCAATGGCTCTGCCTCTACTTCATTTAACAGTGTGAGAGGTGATAATGCAAGCAGAACCAAGAATTCCCATTGGCAGTTTTTGAAACCACAAACCATGATGAGGCGTTTGATGCAAAATGGTAACACTTAATGTTCAAAAAAACAAAACTGAGCTTTTGTTTTAAGACCAAAATGCTGTTTTAAATGTAATGTCATCCAATGAATGTCTTTGCACCAAAAGAATTATAAATTACACTTGATCACAAGTCTGCACCTTAATAACAAAACTACAAACAAAATTAATTAAATTATATTTATGTCCTAACTCTTAAATGTCAGTATTTCACAAAAACTTTTCAAAGCTGGCTATCACTATTCACCATCCAAGATTGAATAGAGCTTGGAACAGTCTATCACAGCAAATTGCTTACTTTAAAGTCATTATTTTTTTCTAGCTATGCAGTCGGTCATGCAGGTGAATTTATATATCTCTTATCTTAAGAAGTTATCTATGCCACTTTCTTTTTTCCCTTTTCCTACACTATAATTATTAATATTAATTGCCTTACCTACTCAGAGTTCTCTATCAAGTTGTTATCTCTAGCACAACCTAAGATAAGTATTATTTTTTTCTTGTGTCTTTATTTTAATTTGCACTGGTCTGTGTACTGATAAAGGTTTCTTGCAGATACATTCTTTAGTTTATTGGTACAGTTACTGTTAGACTTTTAGTTTTGCCAGTTTTGCAGGGTTCCCTAGGTTTTTGTTTTATTTGCTTTAACCTGATCGCAGTCCTCTCCTATTACTTACTGTTAATTGAAGGGGCCATCCATAAAATTGTGTCAAATTCCGGAGGTGGAAGCGGGTCAAAGTGAGATAGGGAGAGGGGGGTAAAGATCTTGTGTGAAGTCACACATGTTTTTAAATTTTTATTTTCATACACATTCATTGATCGTGCATGGGTGCTCAAAATATAGAAGAAGGAGAAACATGAAACTGACTGATGTGGATGTTGAACTTTCTGTTGTAAGTAATGGATGTATTCTGACAGTAGATGAAAATAATGTAATGTGTTTCGATTTACTTAGCTTTAATTAAGTTGTTAATTTTGTTAACAAATTTTTTTTATCAAACTTTCAAACGCGACTCATTTTGAATTTTGTGACTGACATATATTGTGGGTGGGGTGAGATGTGTGACCGAGGTGGGAGGGGGGGGGGTGTCGTCCAAAATATAGTATGGCATGGCTTATTTATTAATTATAAGTTAGACTATGACTATAACACTAACACTATACTATAATCACTATACTATATTACTATATTTATATCATAATATAATAATATATAATTATACTAAAACTAATGGTAAATAATAGTAATAGCTTCTAATAATAGTAATTTTAAGTAAAATATATTAGCATGACTAGTAGTAGGCTATGGACTTGAAGTATGAATTATCCACTGAGTCTGCGATGGTGAGTAGTCAAGTCAGACTAGGCACTACATAAGTGTGACACAACATAACTGAGTGACAACTGACTCAATCAACTGTCAACACTGTGTGTGAGTGTGACGAGTGAAGAGTGTATCATTTTGCCTGATTTTGGCCTCCTAAGCCTTAGTTTATTCTAATGATGGTACGTTTTCATTATAACTTTAATATAACTTTAATTTCTATGAGGTTTATTTAAAACAAGTGTGGTAAAATTGTGCACAATACCGAAACACAATATTCCATATTTCAAACGCATAGTCAGAATTAATGCGACACGACTCTCATTCTTTAACAGCGGCAGTAGAAAATCGGGTAAATTAATGATCTAAAAATAACAAAATCTCGTATCCAAAACCCTATCTTTTGTTATTTAAGTCAATATTAATTCTAATATTTTTCCTACAATAAATACTAGTTAAACTAAAAATTATTTAAAATATATATATATTTATTTTTTATTAATTAGAAGACATCATCAAAATTAATGATAGTAGGAATTGAGAGTATATTGTTTCTATGGAAATTGTTTCAACTTCCGTTTAAGTTTTTACGTTGTGATCCCTTTACAAAGGATCACATAAACATAAAACGTCGAAATAACTTAAAGGGTACCATCTTATATTTGAGTGTTTTAACATTATACGGTATATATATTAAGCAACATCATAATTTATTGAAGTAGAAAAAATGGCAATGGCACAGTCAAGTAGAAATCCATATCCCTTTCCAAAGCTCCAAAACGATGACGACTTCCAGGGAAGGAGAGAACCTGAGGTAAGACTATTTTTTATATAGTATATAATTTATTTATTAATATTCATACTATGACTATACTATACTACTATAGTAAATAATACTAAGTAACTATATGGCTGCAGATATTCGGATCCAGTATCAGAAGTGAGAGGTTGGGTTTATTAAAAAAATATTTAAAATATTTGGATTATGACTATGGCTATGGCTATGGTCATGGTAAGTTTTGAGTTAACGGTATGGGTTTTGCCAAGAGTTTTCTCACCCTAAGCGCAGTGATGTCATATTGGGGAATCCCAACACTGGACTAGGGTGAATAGATCTATTCTTTGAAGGACCCGAACCATGTGTCACATAACATCTTGTTCTTTATTGAGCACTACTTGCCTCATAAACGATTCGGTTAATATGAATTATATTAAAATGAAATTTTCCATTAATTTGTATTAAAATTAAACTTACACGTTTCAAAAGAAAGGAAAAAAGAAACACATCCTTGCTGATACCCCAAGAACCAACACTGGTGAAAAAAAAAAGACGCCCGCCAAAATTGCTGTAACTAATAGTTGAATCAAAATACCGGTATGTTGAAACTTGGGTAAAAAAGGAAGACTATTAATTATTAAATTGCATATTTGGAATGATCTTCTAGGAACTGCGGGGGAGACCCCTCCCCGTGATTTAAATACCAAAATAAGAAACATAGAAACTCTCTAGGGAGAGGAGACCCCTCTCCAGTACCCCTCCCCAATTTAACAAAAAATTTAAAATAAGAAAACAAAAACGTGCATTATCTAAATACAAACATTGAAATCTTTTTAGTATGGTACTGTAGATGGCGCTGTAGACAGAAATGAACCTGGGGGAACCTCTGTGACCTATATAACGTAGAACACATCATCGGCCTTACCGCTAACTCAAAACCAGCCAATATTATTGTAGTTTTAATTTGATAGTAGGGATTGTACAACAAAATTTGATATCAGATTAAAGACAATTGAATGGACTATATGTTTGTAAATTTAATTATTCAGTTTAACTAAAATAAACTGCAACAAATGACATCCGAATAGCATTTAGTCTAAAGGGAACCGGGTCCGAATAGCGGCGATGCTTTTTTAGTTATACATTATCAGAAAATCATCAGAAAACAAAGAATTCTTTTATTTAAAGAAGAATATCGCAACCGTATTTTACGTCTAAAACAGACTTGAGTGTCTTTTTTTAAAATTGTTAACAATAAAAATACGCACCCACTTACTTTTGGCAATGTAAAAACAAAAACTTATTTTCATTTTTTTAAAGAAAATATTAACCCATCTACATTTTTCAAAATTAAATTTTCAAGTGTGCAAAATAATTTGGTTTTGATATTCATGGGCATACTTAAATAAATGTACCCACGTTTTGTTAACGCCATTGATTTTCATAGTTGGTAAACATATGTTTATATGTAAAAAGAGACTGTAACATCTCTATTTTCACAACTGTCAATCCATAGTATTTAAATATATTAACATCCATGTAAAAATGCACACTTCCTATTTCCTACCCCCGACATGTATGTACCAAAGAGGGTTAATTATTTATCAAATCCATTCCTTTATTTTGAGACGTAGCTTGTGCTGCCTTGGGCAAAATGACCTACCCCCTCCCCCCACCAATTGAAATAAAATTAATACAATCTTCCACTGGATTGTAGTCCCTTCCATACCCAAACCAACATATTTTGCACTTCATATGGGTTGTTCTTATTTGGATGAGTTATAAGTGGATTAGTGAATGCTATTTGGCTATGAAGTTTCGCTGCACTGATTGACTTAAACTGCATTTTCTTATTAGAAGTATATTTAAAGGTTTAGATTTTATTACTTTATAAATTTAATAAAAGTATATTTTTGGAATTAAAAAAAGTAAAAACTTACTAAATGTTACATATACAAAGCTACAATGTTTGTGTGTTTATTAACATTTAAAAAGCAATAAATTATATTTACTAATTTAACTTTTAAGAAGAGCGAAATACATTATCAATTTTGTAACGCCCAATTATTAAATCAAAGAAACTTAAGAGTTTTGGCTAACTTAGAACAAATTAATTTTAATTTTATTTCGCAATATTAACAATGCACTAAAAAATGCACTAAAAACAACTGAGGTTTGGTTTTTCCAGATAAATGTTATTATGATGTAATTCTTAGACAATAATTTTGTTTATTAATTTTTTTTCACAACTTTTACATTCGGATAAAATGCTTAAAATAGTTCCTTAATACTTTTACAAAAATAAAAGCGCATTTAAGTTATTTTTTTGCATTTAAATTTATTTGATTTCCTTAAAATGATAGAAAATAACTAAGATTGTTTTTAAGAATCCAAACGTATTTAAATCTTTTCGGTTCTTTGGTGTTACGGTCAGTATAGCTCATTCTTATATATATAGGACTATTAATTAATAATAAATATTATTTAATTAAATAGATAAGATAGAGCCTATGATATGGGGTGAATATGTTTGTTGTGGGCTATGCATGATACAGACCTACTATTCTAATATGTTTAATACTTTAACAGACTATTTGCTACCCAGTGCCAACTCATTTAGCCCAAAGGCAATTGCCATGGTTACGGATAAGTGGTCAACATACCCTTTCCTCGGCAAGACATGAGGCTTACCACTTTGACCCGTTTGCTCCTAATGATGATCTTGATTTTGTTCTGAAATCAACATACAATCATCATGAAGGTCTACTAAAGGACAAAAATGAGGTTGTTTTTCAACATGAAACCTTTAGTGATGACCATGGGTAAGATTTTAAAAATTATAAAACAATTATATTTCTGAACAATACTTTTTTTTTTAAATGTGTTGTCCATTGCACTTATTTGTCAGGACATGCAGAAGGGTCCTGCATTAATGAGGTCAGGAAATTTAATTTATTATAAAACTACCATCATATTATGGCATGGTTAGAGTTAGGGCAGTCAGAGCACTTCCCTTTCTATACCTCATATTTTTAAGAAATATATGTCCCTAAACATTCTAGAGGAGATAAATAAACTTTAAATTATTAATACCAGTATTCATACTTTTATGTAGGCTTAGGCTTAGGCCTAGTTAATAAAATAGTGTGTTTGGTCCAACTATACTTAAGCTTTCAAAGTACTGAGTGTAAAAAGTTGAAAAACAAAAAAATTTCACTTCCTCCTTAATTATTCTCTAATGCATGTAATTTGATCAGATAAAATATTTTATACATATCTAAATCAGATAAAATATTTTATCCATATCTAACATAAAATTATATTTCTATGCAGTCTCTTTTCATATTAAAATCTATTTTATAGATTTAAAATATTAATTAAAATGCCTTATAGTTATAGTACTTATACTTAAAATGAAAAGATAAATTCAATATTTGTTGTTTTTACTTTTATAACAGCTAAATAAATGGGTTCCCGGAATTTTTTTTGAAAGAAATTTCATCGGTGGAAAATTGATCGATGGAAATTTGATCGAACGGAAATTTGGTTGAATCTTTTTTTCAGTTCACATGTTAAAATTTTCGTCAAATTTCTTTTTGAACGCACTATACTATATTGTAAAACAAAATAATGCATTCAAAAAGAAATTCAACGCCAAATTTTAACATGTGAACTGAAACAAAGATTAGACAAAATTTCCATTCTATCAAATTTCCGTGTATCAATTTTCCGTTGAAGAAATTTTTTTCAAACAAATTTCCGGATACGAAATAAGTGTACATGTACTAAATATTGCTTAAAACTTGGACAATCAATTGTTCTGGGTTTACTTCTGTCTAACTTTTCCAATAGTCGAGTACTAAAGAACAGAGTAAAGCCTTTACCTGAGAAGAAAATGCCATTGAATCATCCTCTCATTATAAGTGGGCAAACCAAAAAGGAAAACATTAACAGTGTAAAGACAGCTATAGGTGAGTAACATTTTATTGTTTATACTTTGCAGGTCATTCTTATATGTTGACTTAAGCAGTTTAAAATTCTTAATTTGTAGTTTTTAAGTGCAACAGAACTGCTATTGTTAAAAGTTTAAGTATATCATAGTTATGAATGTTTAATTTCAATTTCACTGATAATAGTGAAAGATCTTAAAAGATTTATTCATTTCTTGTTTCGACATTTGAAATTAAAAAATATTTCATTACTTTTTAAAAAAATATTAGGCTTATCATTGGCCTTTTTTATCTTAGTAAAATTCTGTAGATAATAGAATTTTAAAAAACTTCCTTGTCTGTTAATGAACTCAAATTAATTAATGTTACAGTTTGTTTTTCTTTATTGTAATTATTGTGTTATGTTTTTTTAAACTTCAATTATTTTTTTTTTCATTTTATTGCTGTTGAAAACAGAGAGCCATCACATTGAGACAACCAACAAAGGATATTCGCGAAAACCAGATGGAGGATTTTTCTGTTCTTAACTGTTCAATTTGAATGTGTGATATTTAATTTAATGTCCATTTAATGCTATTTCACAGTTAGGAAAATTTATGTCTTTTTTAATTTTCAGTAGTCTGTCATCAGGCTTCATAGACCATGATTATTTTTAGTTTAATTATGCATGTTTTTGTTATAAAAATTTCAATCACCCGACAGATGTACAATAAAATTTAAACCTGATTTAGTCTTTCTATTTGCAGTTTACAGAATGATGTACACTTTATGTTTCTGTTAAGAATGTATCTTTAGAATAATTTATTTATATAATTTGAAGTTGATTTGAATTTTCTTTAATAGACTTCAATTTATGGCTATCATTTGCAAGTTCAGTATTACCCTAATCTAAGCATTAGTCTGCACAAAATACTTTCAGAAAAAAACTATCATATGCCCTCTTAAAATGTTGATGATTTAGCCACTTTAGCATTAATACTTCTTAATTAAATATTAATATATACCTATGTTTCAAATGCAATTATCCTTAATATTTATGTAATTATTTTAAAAAGTGCATGTAACTTAAATTTGTTAGGAACAAGAACACCCTTTATGGTATATTGTATTTTTACTTCTTTCAGCATTTTGGGTTGTTAAAATTTGGTGTATTTATAAAAGATGTCCTGATATTAGAAAGTGGAAAAAAGTATTTTAATCAAATACATTATTATACATTTGTGGAATTTGAAATTATGCCTTAATTAATATTCATGCAATTGTTCTCCGTTCATAGGACGTAGGCACTTGAATGCAACCCGAAACGGTTACAGCAGAAAGAAAGAAATTGGTGGATTCTTCTTGCCCTAAATTGGTATAAAAATCAATGAATACACAATCAACATCAAATTAGTCAAATGTCTATACTAATTTTGTCAGAAAGTATCCTGAGGCTTTCCAAAAGAAATCATTTTAATCATAAAGGCATTTATTATATTATATAAACTTAAGATTAGACTATAAATAATGCCACCAGTCAGCAAATTTAATGACTGCCTCTGCTGTAGTTTGAAATAAAATAAACAAGTAGACCCTACCTGTGTGTCATTTATTCTTGCAGTGGCTGTTGTTTCATGGTCTGTTTGAGTGTGTGGATGATGAATTACATACATGTTGCTATAAGTAAGCACACCTGATGAATTACATGATGCTATGAGTAAGCACACCTGATGAATTACATGGTGCTATGAGTAAGCACACCTGATGAATTACATGGTGCTATGAGTAGGCACACATGATGAATTACATGGTGCTATGAGTAGGTAAACATGATGAATTACATAGTGCTAAGAGTAGGCACACATGATGAATTACATGGTGCTATGAGTAGGCACACATGATGAATTACATAGTGCTATGAGTAGGCACACTGATGAATTACATGGTGTTATGAGTAAGCACACCTGATGAATTACATGGTGCTATGAGTAGGCACACATGATGAATTACATAGTACATAGTGCTCTTAGGAGGCACACCTGATGAATTACATAGTGCTATGAGTAGGCACACCTGATGAATTACATGATGCTATGAGTAAGCATACCTGATGAATTACATGGTGCAATGTGTAGGCACACCTGATGAATTACACGGTGCTATGAGTTATGAGTAGGCACACCTGATGAATTACATAGTGCTATGAGTAGGCACACTGATGAATTACATGGTGATATGAGTAAGCACACCTGATGAATTACATAGTGCTATGAGTAGGCACACCTGATGAATTACATGGTGCTATGAGTAGGCACACCTGATGAATTACATAGTGCTATGAGTAGGCACACCTGATGAATTACACGGTGCTATGAGTTATGAGTAGGCACACCTGATGAATTACATAGTGCTATTAGTAGGCACACTGATGAATTACATGGTGATATGAGTAAGCACACCTGATGAATTACATAGTGCTATGAGTAGGTACACATGATGAATTACATAGTGCTATGAGTAGGCACACCTGATGAATTACATGGTGCTATGAGTAAGCATACCTGATGAATTATACGGTTCTATGAGTTATGAGTAGGCACACCTGATGAATTACATAGTGCTATGAGTAGGCACCTGATAAATTACATGGTGCTATGAGGAAGCACACCTGATGAATTACATGGTGCTATGAGTAGGCACACCTGATGAATTACATAGTGCTATGAGTAGGCACACATGATGAATTACATGTTGCTATGAGTAGGCACAACTGATGAAATCGGGCTTTTCCTTTTTTTTTTGTAGCAGCACGTGGAGACTGATAAATTCAGCCCGTTATAGGACCTCTATATCAGGAACTTTTTCCTGTCACCTTATGCCAAGAATTTTACGTAGACAGCGTAGGTGGAAATGGTTTGGCTGTCAGCATGTCTGCTGTACACTGTCCCCGTCTCGCTAGTATATAGGAGAGTGATTAACACGATTGCCCTATATACTTCCAGCGTAGTACAAGACTGAGACCACTTCGCGTCCTAACACTCTTGCGGAGCCCTCCAACTGCAACATTTGCATAGGAAATTTGGTTGTTTTTCTCCTTATTTATTGTTTCTGACCTAGAGAGGGTGCTGCCCATGGTATGTGAATTTATCCATTGCTAGATTATGTCACTTCATCTATATTTCAGTTCTTTGTAAGCTTTTCCTGGAGCTGGCTGGAGCAAGACCTTGTTGTAGTTGTCGCAGGCCGTATCAAAGTGACCAAGTACTTGCTGGATTTTCGTTTCCAAGCTGGCGTTTATGGCGCAGTAATCACCAAGCAATATTTCTTGGGATAACTGTTTCTTTAAATTTCGTAATGGCTTGCAGTCTCCTAAGATTAAATAGCCCTCCGTCTGTCCGGTATATCTTACAGGAAAGCCGTAGTCAAAAAAAGCACCAGTCAACATTGCTAAGAATACCATGGGTACAGAATTAATCTATTTATAGCATATAACATGTTTTGTTTAATTATGTGCCCCACAGCATCTTGAAACCCACATGATCAATTCCCCCCACCCACAACCCCACCCCCCTTTAAAAAACAAAAAAAACAACCAAAAACATGTGCTCTACTAAACAAAATTATATAATAAGTAATAATATATGTTTAAAAAAATATTTATTCTAAATCCCGCTTTACAAAAATTCTCTGGCTAGAGATTACGTTGGCCCTACTTTGATGAATGAGTAATCTTGTCTAGTATGCTGTCCAAACTCATTTGAGACAATGTCATGCAACTGGCATTTTGATAGTGGAATTTTGTTTCTGCCAACATTTTAGTTAAAAAGTGTGTGAGACGTTTTGAGTTGAGTCGACTCATTTTAATAGTTCAGCGCTTCCCAAACTTTTAAGTTTGATGGAACGGTTGACAGGTTTTGAAATTGCACATGAGATCATTTCCAGATGGATTAATTACTTAGGAATAACCCGCCAAACTTTGGCCAGTGTCGATTAAACTAACGGCAAATGAGACAAGTGCCTAGGGCCCCCTCACATTTTAGGGACCCCCCCCCCCCCGTCAAACGATCCGCAATTTTTAAAATTTGATCTGATACATAGGTGTTATGAGGTCATGTTTTAATAGACATTTCTTGTATATATTCTTACATAACAATTTATAGAAAAGTGTGTGGTGGGGGGGGGGAGGAGAAGTAAGGGGAAAACAAGACAACTCGAACATCTTATAATCTAGGATGGCTATCATCAAATGGTGGCTATTTATCGACTGTCGTAGTGAGATAACATAGCAAGGATGGGAGTAAATAAAAAGTCCGGTTTATATGAAAACTGGAAAAGAGAGACCCAAATTTTTATGTTATCACTGGATCTGGAAAGAAACGTATTTTCTCTATGTTATAGACGTTAGACCTATATCATTAATTATGTTAGTTGCTTAGCTAGGGTGAGTGCCTCCGGGGGTCGGGCGAGCCAAGATTTTTGCTGACCCTTCTATGAAAAAAACTCTGCAGCTGGGTAAAAATGACGCCTTCTCCGCACCCCCTTCCTACGCCACTGAGTGGTGGTTAATATAAGATATATCTCACGATACCAGAGTGAGTAAAAGGAAATAAGAGAAGCAAAGTATGGGATAACCCTGAAAAAAAAGGGGGACGCAACAAAACAACGTGCGTGTTGCACGAAGTCTTCTTCGACGAACAAACAACAGTTTAAAATATATGAAATCAAACAGAGGCGCCGCCTTCGGCACTAATTGTTCTCATTTAATTTGATTAAATGGTGTTTTATGATTTTTATACAGTGTGGCGAATTTTCATTCGCCACAGATGTGGCTACTTTGGAGGAAGGCTGTCCACCTTGGTCTAGGAATAATTATTCAATAATGATACGTTTCACAACTTTCAGACGTCACATAAATCAACACTCAACACAAAGTAAAGTAATCTTACACGAGTCTAAGCGACAACTCCCAGCCCCTCCCCCAGTTTTGGACTTAATGGATATATATATATATATATATATATTATATATATATATATATATATATCCTTAATTAACACACTTGATCCAACCAATGCTTGCGTGGCCTTTCTCTGGCCCTGAACCCTGAGTTCATTTTACTGTTGCAGATTGTAGGGCGTCTGCGGGCTTGTGGTGACGTTTGGTATTTGGTTGAGCGGCATTCTGACGAGGCGGTCAGACCAAATCATTTAGACAGTGTCTTTCGGGGGCGGGCAAAGATTTTTTTTTCCCGCCCCATCCACGACGAAAAATCTGGAGTTGGCCGACAATGCCAACCCTCCATTAAAAAAAAAATGTCGCCCTGGGTGGACCGCTCCTCCGCATCCCCTTCCCACGCCCCTGTGGGCCATGTATGGCACCCTTCTCGCCATAAACATCCTATCTCGAAGGTTGGGAGATTTCTCCCGAAAAGTGTATTCAGGTGCCAGGTTTGGCTCTTGTAGGCCTTAGAGCAGACCTTTCCAAACTGTTCATTGGTCGTTAAACATATCGCGACACAATAAGCCAGCTTTACTAGTATATCGGGGGGTTAAGTTAAACCATTTTGAACATTCGGACACAAACTTTAAGTGCAATAATGAAATGTATAATGACCAGAGGCGTAGCGATGGGGGGGCAGGGGGGACAGATGTCCCCGGGCGCAAGCTAGTTAGGGGCGCCAAAATGTGATTTAATATTATATTATTGGTAAAAATAATGGGTTTGAGAGTTGAAAAAAAGAAAAGGGGGCGCTTTAAAATGGATCTTGTCCCCGGGCGCGAATCTTGTCCCCGGGCGCCAAACACCCTCTCTACGCCACTGATAATGACACAACATATCTCACGCAAAACTTTTCATTTTGATTGTAATACATGGGTTTTATAATAATGTAGCCTACATGTCCAAAAAGTATGTGAGTGTTATTTATGAGTACTTAACTTAATGGAAAATATGAGCACGATTTTAAAAACTCTAATTCTCTCCTGGTAGGAAAAAGAACCGCCTACAAATCAGTAATTGCGCTAAGCCACTGATATCTGTGGCTTGTCTTATGGCAAAGTAAATAAAGCAAGTATTATCTTCTTGAAAAAAAATTCCAGTTTAATGCTATCAGACATGCCTTAAGACGCATTCAAATAATTGTCCTTTCTTCCAGACGGATTTTAATAACTTCTTTATCCAAATGAAAGCCGTCATGTTGTTGGAACGGCAAGATTTCGGCAACAGCACGTCGATACCTTTTGTTGTTATCAACAAAAGTTCGATCAACGACGTAACTTTTCTTTGAGGTTAAATTGACAGGTTCATTTGTCAGGTAATGTAGGCCTACTTTCCTTTGAACTTACATTTCCACAATCAAAACACTTGGGACCAGGACTGTTTACTTTTGGGCAGAAATGTTGAGCTTCAGTTTGAAATAATTCTTACTGCTTAAACGAGGCTTGAAACCATTTTCTTTTTATATTCCTTTCCTAATAGAACTGACCATGAAACAGTTTATGCTTGCGTAGTTTACTCTTATGTATTGTAATTACATTTTGTTCACCACATACGTTATTTTCACCAGATTTTCTTTTCTTAATTAGAAACACGTCC